TAATTATTAATATTCTGACTGTTAATACAACTGAGCTATGTAATGGTAAGAAATTATGTAAAATTTTATTTGATTAGCTGACAGCTAGATATACCTCTATTTCAATATCACACATGAATTTTTCATCGCGAAAATGTGACATGTTAGCGAGCACAACATTAGCATGTGAACCATCATGAAATTCAGTAGATTCCAGAATATTTGAACCGCTATTAACCAGCGATGGTGTTGTGACGCTTTGCGATGATACCAAACGTTGTGCAAGTAAATAGTTGCTTGGGCAGCTTACCACTGGAGAATCTAAATAGCGTCTCAGAAAAAGTAGGCTCAACAATTAGAACAACAGATTAAACGAGACAGAATAGTATCACCAATATCTGAAAAACAACCTCATCCTTGCAATAAGCAGTTGTTAGCGAGTGACCGGGCAATGAAAGACATAACAAAATTCATAACATACCACCATTGATGCCACTTGGAATAAAATCCATGGAATCTTCCATATTATTTCGATTCCGCTGATGGCGAAGTCTACTGGAATGAATGCTTTGATAAATGAATTGTGTTGATGCTCGTCTTCTAATCCGATCTAGGGTACCACTACCATTTGAACTGGTGGACAATGATGATGTGGCATATTGATCCTGTAAAGATTCATTGCGGTTATATTTTTAGAGCATTTTGACAATCTACCACATAATAAAATGGATGTATAAAAATATATAATAAAAATAATTCATTCAGCTAATAAAATGCTTTTATTTAACTCTTTATTTCAATAAGAATGCTTCTTAAGATGGTCTTGACTCTCCTAAACTGAAAGACTCTTAAGTTTCGGAGGATAGAGATTACTAGCTTAAAATTCTATACAATGCAACTGTAGTAGATTGGTCGACATAGACTGTTCGATTGATATTTATTCAATTCAGCCTCAAATTTCCCAATATATTAGCATAAATTTTGAATTTTTAAACTTTGGGACATTCAATTGTTAATCGCAGTTGATATGTGGATTTTTTTCATTTTACTGCTTCCATAAATTACTCAACATCAGTTGCCTTAATTTAAGTCAAAAGTTTCCAAAATTTCATGAATTTATTAAGACTACCATGAAGGCTTCGAAAAAAGTGAAAAGTAAGAAATTTGTTGCCATGATTTCTGATTTTGCAATTTTGTCAACGAAAAGCATTATTAGGACTGTCCTCCTGAAAAATAAATTCCAAACTGCAAAATTGTTCGCAGCCTTATTTTTCCTTTAGGACGATCTTAACGTTTCTAATCAGATTAATAAGAACTTGAAAACTTCTTCCGAAGATAGGATAAAGACGTTAACACTGAAGGAAAGCAAATTCAGTGTAATGTAAAATTTGCTTTCAGGTAGGATCCCTCTTTCGTGCAAATTCGAAGATCCTTTCATCCATTTACATTATCGTGAAAAAAACACGAGAAGTTCTCTAATTTAAAATTAATTCTTCATGATAACATCTTCAAATAATGCTTTTTCCTTTATAATACTATAAAAAGAGAAATAATGACAGCGTATCGCCTTTCATTATTTGAGTACTTTTTTGTCCATGATTTTTCTCGCTTTATTTCAAAGACAACTAATTAAACTGAATACCGATATTCGAATTTTGGATTAACAGATTATATGAATCCTAATGCTCTGGTAGAGGAAACAAATTTTTTCACAAAGAAAAAATATTGTTTGCAGTTGTTGTCATGAAGAATGAATTTTATAACGTTTCTCCTCCATTTTCAAACTAGTCGCGCCAAATGGAAAATTTAAAAGCTTGCGAATAACTTCTTCATTATGTGTCACATTTGTTACGTCCATATTTCAATACTAAATCATAGCTCATACTATAGAAATCAAATTTTGTGATCGCGATTATATTATCATCTCAATCTTTCGTTATCCGGATTAACTGTAAAGACTGACAGTGAAAGACAGGAAAAAATAGAAGTCAAATTGTATTACTGCGATTAACTGTATGCTATTTTAGATAGCTTATTCTATTTCATCTGAATTTTCTTTATAAACCGTTTTAATCTAAAGAACAGTGAATTATGATGCCTCTCCTGTTAGCCTACTCTAAAAATTCTCGAAAACGAAATTTGAAAATATTTAACAGCAACACTCATACCACATTAGTTTCGATTTTTTCAGCCGTTGTTATGTGTTGATGTTGCTGCTGCTGTGGTAATGGTTGATACTTCACGGTCACACTTGTTATTGTAGCAGATGACCAAGTAAGCAGACAGCTCTGGAATAAAAATTCATACGGATCAAAAGTTCGCAATTAAGCAGCAACGTTGATGACAAATAGCGTGTCGAAAAGTCTAAAATGCCAAAAAACTGAAGATTTTCTACATGAATGGCTCCGACCGCTTACATTATGGATAAATGAAACTAAATGGAAGGGAAATGCAACACTTTAGGCCGATCAATTCTATTTGCTAGAGGTTTTTGACGATATCGACAAGTAGTTTATTCAATAATATCCGATCTCAGCAAATACTTATATATGTATATCACTCTTTCCTCATTAACCTGAATTTATTTCACCCGAAAACCTGCTGAGAAAAAAATCACAAGTTCAAGTCATAACAGTCACCATTAACCCCTCCACTTTTTTCTTTCTGACCTGTAACTTTGCTAAGCGTATGAAATGGATAGCGAATGCTGGGTTTGTTAAGGTCGGGTCACGAAATTACAACAAATGACATATCATAACTAATCTACATATTATTAAATTAGTAAATAAAACTTTTGTAAGAAAAAATTTTTAATGCACAGACATGGTAATACGCCAATTAAAGAATTGTACAAAAAATAACACGGTATAATTGTTTACTCTTTATGATAGCATCAACAAAAGCAATTCAATTTAATTCACTCTAACTCATTAGAGTTATACGTGCACACGGACGCCGTCTATAATTCACTTGATATAAATTTATCGAACAAAAATACCTATTGATATGTCGCAGCATTGTAAGGTACGCAAGGTAAACAGTAGGCCCAAGAAAACGGATACTTCTCTTATTTAAGCCTATATCTCATGTTCACACATAATAATACAAATGTAAACATAAAATAGAAAAATGAACTTTTTTGCATTTCAAATACAACAGACAACTGAAAGGGCAGAGAAGAAAGTGAAAGATCATGAACGGAAGGAACGCTTCTTTCTTTCCTTTCTCATCCCTTCTTACCGACAATCAATTATCGTCGTATGGAGCGATCCGAAATGTCTACCGCTGCGATTGTTGTTGTTTATTGCCCCTTCCCCTCTCTTCCACTCACTCATCATCCTAAGAATCATAACCCGCGAACACAATCGTTTTTCCTATATCGATGTAACGGTTCACATACTCCTTAGATTTATTGTTCGATCAGTGACTATTTGACATTTCCTGGTCATAATAGGATCGAATGCCAAAGTCAGCCATTTGCATCCTGTGGAGAGAATTGGAATTTTTCGGTTATGAAATTGCACTGTGTCGGCATTAACCTTCCAAAAAAGACGTACAATATCATCTACACATTTTAAATCATTCGTTGATTAGATGATTGTCGATGATTCGAATCTGTTACTCTTAGGCTATCCAATATAAGGCGCTATCTTTTCTGCTTATTAAAGTTCTTATGGTATCATTCTCAGTATGGTAAAATTTACAAAAATCAAGTGATAACACATCTGTCCTATTTCAAACTGCAAGAATTCTAAAAGTCAAATAATAATAGGAAGAACTACATTCAATTTACAACAAACACGCTTACTCTTTTGATAGCATTATTTTACAGAATATGATTTTTGTATATCGTATAATAAACAGTTATAATAGATGAATTTTACGAATCACCACAAAAACTTTTAAAGTATGAGAAATACAAAAAACAGATCTTAATGAAGTTCAACAGAATTTAAACCTGATAAAACACACGAAGAATTTTCGGATACCAGTATTCAACTAGGCTTAGAATTACCCGAAAAATCTCTACAAAAGCTGTCTGCTTATTACAATAAGCCAAAACAAACTAAAGAAATACAGGCAACCAGTGCTCAAAATATAAAAAATTTGAAAACTTCCTACATCAACGCAAAATTTAACTGTTCCATTCATTCTAACGGTAATTCGGGCAAAATTAAACGGCAAACAATGTGATAGGATAACTTCTAAATACTCTTTTAAACTACATTTTCACACATCATAACTGCAATAGCTGAAACAGATGCAAATAATCAACATAAGAACTTTTTCCCCCATCTAAACAACTGTCACATGGTTCCTAAACTAACTTGACATTTCAAATTGTCATATACACCACGTTACAGTTACAGTATTCACTTCTCTTCTTTCGCCATTACCCCTCTCGTCAATTTCGCACAAACGAACAAAGAATCAAAAAAATATTTATAGAATGCTGAGAGGACATACCATAAAGTACATGTGTATTTCTGGCAATAATCCGGCTGGGGAAAAAATATTTAAGACCCGGTAAAAACAATTGTTACTGGAAAAATTGAGAAAAAAACTGAAGTAAAAATGAAATACATCTGGCAGAATTACTGAACAAATATATGGATTTACGAAAAAATCTACTCAGCTAGTAGCATACTTCTGCCCATACGTGCTTATCGCCGACAATGTTTGTTGGTTATTTCCATCGGAAATAATCGATCAACTAACATAGATCATTGACTGCGCGATAAAACGTCAAACACTGTCACTTCCTAGCCGTGTAAATACTCAAAACCCAACTGTTAAAACGTTTCATCCATCCTTCATTTAAGATATTGGTAACTAGAACTAGTTTAAAATCTAATCAATACCACAATTCTTTCAATTAAGTGCTGCCAAATGACAAGTATAACAAGCACACATTTATATGCTTTTCATCTCAGTGTAATGATGACTATTAATACTAACGCATTTTTTAACTTTCTAGCTTTTATCTACAATATATTCTATTACCATTGTAATCATTTCATTTATTCTTTATGGTGCAAGCTGAGTTTTCTTCGTGCGATGAAGTGTTTGATGCATGAGAGCATCACGGATTTGTGCACAATCTGTACTAATACAACAATATGTGGGTTATCCAGAGAAACATGACTGTCTGGTGCCAATTGTTTCAGGGCCAACAGTACCATATCCATAACATCACCCTTTCCCAAACTATCATTATTTCGCGCCTTAAAATCGAACAAATATGTTGGCCATTTTCCGTCTTCGGCCGAATGGAAATGCTTCGAGATCAGTCGACTCACTTCCTGAAATCACCATTATTCCAATCGATAATAAAGAAAAAGAAATGTATCTTCATTTAAAAATGATGTATCTCCAATTGGGGGTGATGACATTTGTTGTGCGTCATCTGGCTTCCGAAATGCGACAATTTTTTGAATAACCTTTGTTTTAAAGAATCTCAATCATGTTACACAAAAGTGGTAAGTAAAATAAGAAAAAAATCATTTAAATTTATTTAACCACTACAACCTTCCTTTCACAAGAGCATCGATAAAAATCTTTTCCATTGGTAAGTATCCAATCAGTCCTTTATCGAAAGAATAGAAGGAAAAGGGTAGAGTGAGAAGAGGAGGGAATGGTATATTACTTGCGAAAGGGAAGATCAATACGACAAATAACATTTTGTGAACCATCAATTACAATCCAACAAAACTTATGATCTTATGCATACAACTCCTTTAGCGAATATCCTAGCTTTAACACTATCTAATGGTAGGAATCTGATAAATTTTGAAATAAATACTAGCTATTAAAATCTCTTAGATTACCGTATCTAACTCGACCATATCCACTCGGCAAGTCCTTTCCACCGGCCACACCCGTTGCAGCAGACGACAGCACCGCTCTCTTAGCACCATTTCAACAAGATAATCCACAAAATCATATACGTTCTGGTCATTTACACCTTTCACAACAAAAAATAAGCAATTATTCGCACCAGTTGGTCGCTGCCATATTTTCCGCTTTTTCACATTCCTGTTATCGCTTCGTGCTACAGAAGATCTTTGTTCAGTTAATAAACTATTTTGAGTTGCTTATCAAAGGCATCTGTCACTGAGCAGCATTAATACAGAGACATGTATTTTCTTAATTAACTAGTCACTTTATATTACTTATCTCATTACCCTCGTAGACCTATCAATGTTTATTTCTCAGACGTATTGCTTCGCTTGAAAAGCCTAATTAGAGTTTAAAAATATGGATATGTAAAAAGAGACAGACGATCCTTCACAAATGTTTTTTTTGTTAAATATATAATTTTCCATGCTTTTAATTTTGCAATCACTTGACCATTTCTTTGTCTGATAAACAACAATTTTAATATTCACACTTTTCTTGCTTAAATTTCGAATAAACTACTCTCTTTATCTGTTGCCTTCTACAAGTCTGTTCCTAACTTCCTTACGAAATCGTCGAATAGTACTTCGATGAGAGAGCACAAACTTCAGAAGTAATTTATAAATAACTGAAGTAAACTACTAGGAACGATGAAGGCGTCTGTTGTCACCAGGCAATAAACCTATAGTAAATTTCAATAAGCAAACATGTGGGTATGGGAAATATTAGACTTAAATGGCGTATAAGCAGTTTGATCAAAACCAAGTGATCGTAAAATTAAAAACAAGCTAGTAAAGTGAAAAATTTTTTCCAAAACTCTTTAAAAAAATCTCAAAAATCGGACCGTTTTCTTCATCTTCTACTACAAGATCTCTAAGTATCTGATTATGTCTTTTTGAAAAACCAGTAAATTTATAGAATGAAGGAAAAAACAATTGTACAATTCTCAACAAAACAAAAAGTACTATATGGAACAACAAACTTTAAAGCCTACATGAGATAATAAGAACTAAAACCTTGATCACAGAATCGTTTCACCGAATCTGCGACATCTTCCTCATCACTACCGGAATTAATACATTTCCCGTTATCATCGGAATCTTCTGCTGGACTATTCTTTTTCCATGTTTCCAGAGCTTGTTCAATTACATTATATGCTTCACGTACTGCTTGCCTTTCATTTCCATTACACGTGAAGAATAATCCGCAACAGCCTGATTCCACCCATTTTTGTTTTACGTTTTGATTATAACGAAAATGATTGCGTCTTTTTTTGTTCTTTTCCATAGAATGCCTTATTATTCAAATGATTATGTAAGGTACGTAATTGAGCATGCGAAATTTAAGATACGCACAGACAATCTGGGAATGCCAGGCCTAAATTTCTCTTCCACTCATACAAATGTTTTAAGATTAGCTTCACTCACACGTTCATTTTACACCTGAAAAACACTTTCATACCCCCTACGATCCATTTGAAAAAAAACCATAAAAACTTCCTGCATCTCTCGTGACAAGCTCATAATTTTGGCAACGTATGCCCGAACTATATGATTACCGGGAATTTAAATTTCAACCTCAAATGAAATTTCAATGTTCAAAATTTTGATAAAGCAATTATTAGCAGTAGTTTAATTACTATTAATTTAGTTTAAATAAATAAGAGTAGTGGAAACTATTCAGACTATCGACATAGTCCAAATTCATATGGTAAAATTTTAATATTATTCATTGAAATTAATACATTTTCATTTGATAGTATGAGCTTTTGTAACAGACAGACTTTCTGATATTGAAAGATATAATTATTGTAATTATATCTTTCAATATCGGTAATAAGTAATAAGAGTTTTTAGTGTTGCAAATAAGCTATATCGATGGAATATTTTTTGAAAAATAAGGTAAGTCATTTTGCATTGAAATTTATAATTGACAGTTACCTGGATATCAGGAACAAATAAATAATCGAATGAAGAATCAAAATAATAGATTAATCACCTCCTTATAATAATAAATAAGAAATGATAATTAGAATTAAAAACTTAATCACTTATTGGAATAAATATTAAATGAAGACATAACAAAAAATTAGCATTGATCAAATTATTGATTTGCATTGATTAACAATTAGCATTGATTAAAAAAAATACTTACTTAAAGTCTACCAGATCTTTTAAAATTTAAATTTAATTTAAAAGAAAAGCAATTTCAAATTTTTAAAAGTTAACGGGAGAAATTCATTTTGTGTATAATTATCACGGAAATGTTGTTGTTGTTGTTGTTGTTGTTGAAAATGTTATGGTCAAAAAAATTGAAAATATTTTGTCTCAGAAATTTTAAAAAATTTAAGAAAGAATTTGAAATGTGATAATTGATAAATGAATGATCATAAAGATAATGATATGCTGTAATTTGGACGTCTTGGTTTTATTATAAAAATAATTGGTGTAGTAAAAATCAATGAACTTTCGCATTAACTGTTTATTGCCTTTTCGATGAACGAAATATTTATTTATATTTTAATCATATCAAAATATATTTAAGAAATTAATGCTATGATTTTTTTTTCGAACTTCTTTCTTATCATCATCTCTCATTCTGATCCGTATGATCCTTTATGGTCTTTGTTTTTGACAAACAAATTTCAGATCTGTAATCGTAATTTGATACTATTTTTTCCTTCATTGATATAGATGATCCTTACGATCCTTTACAGCTTTTGTTTTTGACAAACAAATTTCAGATCTGTAACCATAATTTAATACTATTTTTTCCTTCATTGATATAGATGATCCTTACGATCCTTTACAGTCTTTGTTTTGAACAAACAAATTTTAGATCTGTAACTGTAATTTAATACTATTTTTCTTTTCATTGATATAAGTAACTATTAATAAAATGAAATGCCAATAGAATTAATAAAATGCCAATAGATGGAGGACTTATCAATAATCAAATCCGTAATCAAAAATCCGGTTTTTTTCCGCATTCATTATTTGCAAAAATCAAAATAGCCACATTTATAGTTAATAAATAATTCATCTAACCTTCTTTACTAAATGTTTAACAAAATTTATTAATTACAGATATAATGATGAATAAATGAAGAAATGAAATGTTGTAAAGAAATTGTCAAAAAATTTATTTATCAGAAAATAAGGAGTGTGAGAATGATTAAATCAATTTCAATTCCGCAATATAACAACAGCGATCATGTCCTAATAAGTCTTGAAATTATAGAGATGTATGAATGGATGGAAGAAAATAAGAAAATACGAAATTTCTTAAAAATTAAAATACGAAATTAAAAACTAAATTAAATTAAAAATTAAAACACATAAAAATTAAAATATGAAACATAGAAGAAAATACGAAATTTTTTTTCAACGAACATTTTTGTCGAATTATTTTCGACAAAAATTAATAAAATGCCAATAGATGGAGGACTTATCAATAATCAAATCCGTAATCAAATCCGACATTTCGCAATATCTGAAAGTTGCGAAATCAGTTTTCTGTTTTTTTTTTTAATTTATTTTATCATCAGAATTTGTCAAAATTTTGGATTTAAAATTTGCTGTAAAAATTTTCGTCAATAATTTTTTTTAACGATGACAACGATAATTAATTTGTTGAAGAGGAATTTACATTTAAGATAAATGATTTTCTTTTTTTGGCAATAATTTTTTATTTTTCTTGACAGCTTCGTTTTTTTTTCCGGAAATTATAAAGTGACAATCTATACGGATTAATTAACAATTAAATTGATGTATTTGTGATGAAAACGGAATAGACAATCAAAGAGAATAAAAGTTGACGGAAGTATGATTTATATTCAGCGAAAAGGGATGAATTGAGAAAAGAGACAAATTAAATGATTGAATAGTTATGATTCATCAGAGTGACAGATTTATTTTAATTATTGTGATTAATTAATCAAATTGTTTAATTGTTTATTTACTTATTTAATCTTTTTTTTCTTTCAAATTTTACAGATTATTCAAAATCTATTGATGTAACGAAAGATAATTTAAATTGATATTTCTCCTTATTCAAACTTTTATGAATAAATATTACTAATAATAAATAAGCTTTTTTTTAATATAGCAGGAATGAATTTGTTGCTATCAATGAAAATTATCAAATTATTTAATGCAGCGATATTGATTAAATTATATATTACATATAGAATCGTTAATGTGATAATAGCTCATTGTTTTTCTTGTGCAAAAATTACTTTATTTGAATTTACAACAAAAATTGCGACATGCTTTTTAATCTATTTTACGACAAAAATACTATAAATTAAAACAAAAAAAAAAATGGAAATGTTGAAAATTTAAATTCAGTTTTGTTTTCTTCCCAATTTCACAGATCATCCAAAATCTATCGATGTAAAGAACAATAATATAAATTGACATTTCTTCCTATTCGAAACTCAATAAATCTAATGATGCCAATAACAAGTGAAATGTAATCAAATGTGATTTCTTTTTATCATTCACTTTTGATGATAGTGAAAAGAATTTATGGAAAGATATTATTGAAATGTAAGAAAAGGTAATATGAGTAGTAAACGGAAAAAAAAAAATAAAGAAATGTACTATAATTATTTTCGTAATGAGAAGAGAATGATGTACAAAACTAGTTTAATTAATGTTACGAATTCAATTGTGAAATTAAAATGTAATATTCAAACCATGTTTTAGCGTAATGTGTGAAGATGATGAAAATACACCAATTAATATTAAAATGTTTCGAGTATTGTTTATATTACAAAATATGCTTTGTATTACGATATGCTCAGTATTACGACATGCTTGTATTACGATATGCTTTATATTACGACATGCTTTGTATTATGATATGCTTTGTATTACGACATGCTCTGTATTACTACATGCCTGTATTACGATAAGTTTTGTATTACGATATGCTTTGATATCACGATATACTTTGTACTATGAAATCTAAAATGTTTCAATTTCATTTCAAAAACTCGAAGTTTTAACTACGAATGAAATAATATTATTTATTGATTGAGATAATAACAATTACGAAATATGATAATTTTTTGAAGATTAACATTTGTGTTCAGTAAATTGTTGTTTAAATTAAAAACGAATTAAAGACTCGAATTGTATGTTTAAAAAAAGCAATAATGGGAGTTAAATATTGCAGATCAGAATCTTATAACTATAAGTATGAAATATGAGAATCATGATTTCTCCTGATAAACAAATTCAAATGAAAATAAGAATGTTTGAGTAAATATCTGATCATAGTAAAAGTATGCTACATCAAATTATCCAAACTTTTAGTCTGAATAATAAATGATATTCGAATTTGAATTTAATTATTTAATTTTAGCGAAAATACTTATGATTAAATGAAAACAATCATTTAATTTCAATGATTAGGTAAAAATAAGTTATAATATAAGAAGTCTTTTTTTTTCAATATGAAAACAATATCAAACGAAACGTTAAACATATTTCAACTAATTTTCAAATAAGCCAAATAGATGTTATATTATAAGATTAGGTAAAAATAAGTTAACTTACTCGAGAAGTAATAGGTAATGATGATGAATAATTAACAACTTCTGCTACTGGAAGTAGTATTGGAGCGGATATCAATGGTAACGATGGTGAAAATGTTTGATCAGTTTCTTCTTCTTCAGATTCTTCCTTTATCATATCCTCTCTTCAATAATTTGATCAGACAAATAAATGGATGAATTTTTTAAAGTGGAAAATCTTAACATACTAACTATCCTAAAATAAATTAACGAAATGGACATTTTATTAAATTCGAGAAAAAGAAAACGAAATTTAAATTAGATATATATTTTGGTCATTTATGTTGGAATCAAATTGATTAGTTGGAATTATTCCATGTCAATGTAGCGCGTAAATGACTGGACGATACGATGATATTCGCTCATAAACAGTTGTAGTAGTAGTAGTAGTAGTAGTAGTAGTAGTAATAGTAGTAGTAGTAGTAGTAGCTATAAAGATGAAAGAGGAATGAGAGGATGCAGAAATTTAACAATGATTTAATCATTTTAAAAATCCGATTGAATGAAAAGATGAATTGAATATGAAAAACTGGTAAGAATAGAGAGAAGTGAACAGATCGTGTAGTTTGGTATTGTTCCATTCTCTCAAGTGATAATGGTCATCATCTCAACTACATCCTCCCCCCCTTTGCAGCTCATTTTCTACAATGCATTTCATTGATAATACTGAAACTTAGAAGAAAATGACGAATGATTCTTAAAATTTCGAAATTTTTTCAAACCTAATTTTCTTTTATGAATTTTAAAACTTTTGAGAAAAAAACAATAGAGAGAATATTGTCATTAAATGATGCAATTTTGTAAGGACTTTTCATTTTAAAGAAATCAGCAAGAATATCAAATTTCACGAACTTCTTATTAATGTGAGTAATAAGTATTCCCACATTCCGGATTTTTCCCCCTCTCCCCCCCCCCCCCCGCTTCCTTATCTGGCATTATAGAATCTCTTTAATTTCTCAAACAAGCTAATCGATTTTTTTGTTCCAAAATCTTATAACTATCAGTTGATCCGTTCTCTTTTATGCATACTCTTTTCCATACCTATTCTTCACACAAAAATACCGCATAATTTTTTCATTTTTCAAAAATGAGGCTATTCTATTTTCATCCATAGAATAAGAATGAGAATGAACTAAATGGAATATTTCCTGAATGAATAGTGCATTTGAATTTAACATTTTAAAATCAAAAGCAAATCTGAGGGACATTAGATTTTGCATTTGGTTGTAAATTAAAAATAAAATCTAAAACTACTATGATCATCATATCAATCCTACTAATAGATATTAGCTGAATATTAAATCGATAAACAAATTGATCATTTCTACTATCACCATAGAAGACATGAAATAATGATTGCAAAATCACAATTAAATTTCAACATTTCAATTTTCCCCGTCTACTCTTCTATTCATTAGAAATGAGAACATTTTTGTTAATGCACGATGAAACTTTCTTTCGGCACTCCCTTTCGATTTCATTTTGTTCGTTCTAACAATTATCACAATGTGTGCTCACTGTACGGGTTTAAAACCTTAAGCAGGATCTAAAAGTCAGTCACTACGGAAATATTCCTTTTTTTTTAAGTCATCACCAATATCATTACAATGTTAAGTTCATTACCAGTATCTTATCAACATTGCTATAATCATCACAAGTGTAACAAATATATTTTCGAGAAGGAATAAAAGCATGCAAAAACTTACAACATGAAGAAAAACTTAACAGAGATTAAGATTAAAGCATTGGAATGTAATGATTCTAATAACAGCGATTCAAACAATGCACATTTTTTACAACGAAACATGTCAGATCCAGAATGAATTTCACTAAGCTTATAATATTAATACAAACATTCATCATCCGACTCTTTTCTATAATTTTAAACTTTATGTGTCATATTCAGTTTATTTATTTATCTTGTCATATGCTTTTTCAATCAGCAATCTTCTCAATTCCAGACGATTCTGACACTTTGAATGTCGAGAGCACCGTATAACTGCGACTATTCCCGAAGTATTAAGCTATGGATGGGTATGTTCTGAACATAATAAATAATCAAACTGTTCATTAAATTTATTCTCGTTAAATTAGTTTCAGTCTTAATTGGATTTCTTGCTCTTGCTTCTTGCTCTTTGAGTTACATCATACAATAAAAAGCAACCAGGAATTAGAAATGTGCGAAATAATCACTGCATATCAGTAATTCCAGATTCAAAATCAAACTTCGGGAATTTTCCAGTCGAAGCAAGGCATTTAAATTTAAGCGCGGAATAATTTTAATTAGTGCCATCTTTTTTTTCGCTTCCTGAAAGTAGTTGAAATAATTTAGTTGAACTACAAGGACAGAGTCAACCAATCAAGATTTGAATAAGTTACTCACACAAGCTTTGCATTATTTAAACATTGTATAAATTTTGCATTATGTCGATTTTAAAAGTCTATACTTCTTGATATAATTATTTAGCAATGAATTTTTGAATATTGAAGGATGCCTAATTCCAAAATATATATTCTAAAAGACAAAAGCAAAAAACATCTTACTGAATGCTTAGAAAATTTTAAAAGTTTCGATAAGACGAATATAATTGTTGAGATGATAAGAAAATTCTAGTGGGAAAGATAGAGGAGTATTGTATCAAAAAGTTGACAAAATTGATGGGGGTAATACATTTTAAAATTATGGAATAAAGTAGCATGAAAAATCAACAATGCTTCCTACCTTCCATATTCAACGACAGTGAAATTTTAGTCATCATGAACTCCCAGTGACTGACCACCTAGAAATCTGGCAATATGCAAATCATTTTGATATATGTGATTGATAACAAAAATGAATAAGGAACATCCAACGGTTGCATGTGCGACGTTGTGTATTATACCATCAACTCCACCGAAAATCTAAAACCAAATTTACTAAAAACTTTATTCAGTAACTTAGTAAAATTTATTTATTAAAATCCAAACAATAAAAAATTTTAACGAAGTGATGAAATGAAATCTGAAGTGAAGATTATGCATTAAACTCTGCCTGTAAAAGGAAATTAGGGATTGAGAAACGAGAGTACGAAATTGTAGGCATTCTTTTAGAGAAGGGAAATAAATTTCCCAGATTAGGTACAAGGAATAATTGACAAATTTCCATTTCTTTTTTGCCGATGAAATGGAAATTTATTTCTTTTAATAGTGTTCAATTTTGATAAGCTTCAGAAAACTGACCAGAAGGGAAAGTGAAGTTACCATAAGACAAAAAAGAAGAATTAAAATTGTTGAGAAATTTGGTAGTGCCTTCAGAAAACTTATTTGATCGCATGAAAATCGGCGAATATGTTTCCAGCTGAATTGTAAATAATTAGCATAACTCTATTACAACATATAGTTTTTTTTGCTAAAATCTATTCAAATCCGTCTTAGGAAGTCAATAAAATAGCAACAAAATAATCGCTTACCTGTAGGCTATTCGCATCAGCATAGTGACTATATTTGCTAGTATCAAACCATATGCACCAATAGCGTATGAAAGGAAGGAAGACAGAAATATCTGAATGGGAGACGAAAGGAACAAAAACCAGCTGTGTGAAAAAAGCTGAAAGCTTTGTAACATGTAGCATACTGATATATTAAGAAATTGAATAATAAAATAAGCTCCGAAGAGAAAATGCTAATCGAAGTATTGGATTAATAATTAGAGAAATATGTTCGAGGACATCCCTAGATGAAACTAAGTAATCCGAATCATCGCAGTCAGATAGACACCAACCAGTGGATTGATGATTTAAATTGGGAGTAATGCTCGATTGCTCATGACATACATTTAAGCCTTTTCTAACAAACACAGTTACTAACAACACATTGCTATCCACTGAATGTTCCCAAGTAAACCAGTAATAAAGGTAGAGAAGATGAAAATGATAATTTAAATCAATTAATTCTCTAAACATAAAAACCTCCTCTTCGATCATTGTTGCCATAGCAAAACATTCAGTGATACCATTTATTGCAATGACAATTAGATAGAAACAGTAAAATCTCAGAATATTCGCACCTGGAAAAATAAGTTTCATAGGATATATCCTCAAACTATTTCGTAAATAAAAATTGGCTGATATTGATTAAATAGTAAAGCAAAGTATGAAAAAACCTAACATAAAATAAAGCTAAATTACAGGCAAAACATTTTTAAAAAAAACAAAAAGTAAATTAAAGCAAAGTAAGACAGCAGCAATATACTACTAAAAACAATAGACATTTTGTTTTGATACAATCCGAAAATTTCTAAGTGTTAATTTTCATATTAATCTTTTTTCAAAATTTATATCTAGGTTACTTTAATGCTCTTAAAGAACCTACCCGCATTATTGATTAGTACAGCGCCACCATATATTTTAACAACAAGAGGAGAATAGGGTATTGCGAAAATAAATATTACAGTACCAACTACAATAACAATATGCAGTAGACCATTCATTGCATTAACTCCTTCTTCTACATCACTCTGCAAGCGATGAATGCATGTAGAATACGTATCTATAATGCTTCGAAAATTTGCAAAATGGCGATAAAAGAAAACAAGAGCATATCTATCATAAAAAATTCGAAGTATTGGGAAATACCTTTCATTCAAGGTAAATAAGTGATTAAAATAGTCGGAGCTACTAACATGGCAGCTTCAACTTGCCAGGTTACAGGAAAAAATCCAAAATTCGATCCCCATGCTAACTGTACCTCTATTCGATCTTTCGCCGAAGTTGCTCTTCGAAGATGAGTGGAGAAATACAAATAAGCAGAATGTTCGAGCGGTGCAAAAATGACACGTGCGACCAAACTGCCCAATTTATCGACTGCATCGAAAACCGCTAAAAACATAAGGGTTGCAATAAGGTTTTAAAACTCATCCTTCTCCAATGAAAAATATTAGCAAATACAGTGTATTGAACAACTGATAAGAAATTGCACGCTACAACGGAATTCAGAATAAATCGCCACAACGGAATTCACGCTACAACGGAATTCAGAATAAATCGAAACACGATTAAAAACCGATAAAACTAGCCTTGATCAGATAAGGAAAAGAAATTCGTGAATGCAAGCACGTAGCCATTACCATTTGTAATAACCTGCTTGAAAATAGAATGAATAGTAAAAGCTCCCAATATCGAACGGTTCTGAAATTTCAACTCCCAGTTATTGGTTTCAGTGTAACATCTATATTATGGGTGTAAGAAATTACCTAAAACCATTTATAACATGAGAGATAAATCAGCATGAATTCCAAAGCATTCAAAATGAAAAAGCACCTCTTTTGAGAAGGCTTTAGGAAAACTTGGATAAAGTGACATCATGCTGAAACCTTTAACAGGTGCGACAGACCGAATGCCAGAAACTAACAGATATATGCACAGAACTGTGTAACAGAAAGAAGACAAAACCTGCAAATTACAGTAGAATGGACTGCATACTAATAAAAACTAGCAATAAGTACTTAAGATGATGATAAAAAAGTGATTTTCCTAAAAACCTCTTATTTAAAATGGTTACCAACGACATTCTGATTATATGATTGTAACGCAGGAAAAATTCAAATATGTGATAATAAACGATTTCCTCTTTGAAATTTAAATTTCACTGTCATTTCAGGCTTCCTCTGCTCTGCTTCTTATGCGATTAGCTCATAATACCTTCAGTCTTTTTCCTAAAATTTCTCTATCATTTTCTAGTTATAGGTTAACTTTCTACTTTTCGAACAAACCTGTGCGCAGCAGAATGCATGGACGGGTAACATCGGTACCAAAATAACTAGAATGAGTATAAAAACTCGTTGCATTATAACCAGGAAAGCTTGCGCAAATGCATATTGAGCATCCATGCCGAATCGTAATGACAATATAACATAAGGTTCAGCGAACGATTCTAACCAAGCAGAAAATGCAAATATGGACAATGCTGCAGCATATGATGGTACCAATGAAGCGTCTGGTACAGCAGAAAAAGGCAGCCAAAAACACAGAAACAATAGAACGGCTATCAAAGGACAAATTAACGGGCTAAAATACTGTGTAAAATTAAAATCAGGTTGAGATAAGACCTTTTTCCTAATTAAGATAAATTTTTTTAATTTTTTGAAAACTGTATTACATAATAATAATAATAATGTACCGTAATAAGTTACTCAGCAATAGATATGTAGAAAAAAGACCTACGCAAGCCATAAATGTGTAATAACAGTCGACAATGGTATCTCATTTGCAAGAAAAACCTTCCGAAATGGTTCACGTACCAGAAAAATCGTTGTTGAGTAAAATAACATTAAACTGAAAAAAAAAGCACTATCAAAAACCAGGAACAAAATATTTTGTTAATATATTTTAATTAGTTTCTCCAATCGAATTACACATACATAAATATGAAAGCTCCATATTCACAATCTCGTCTTCTGTTTATAATATTAATTTGATACTATCCAATACTTCAAGATTCAACATATAAGCCAACTAGAAATCACATGAAAAAATACTGAAATTAGAATTTTGAAATCAAATTAGTCAAAATTCATTACTTGACATTGACAAGGCCCAAAGCATCGCTATCAATTCGTCGTAATAAATACATATTTATGCCGAATGAAAGAACGCGAGACAGCAGCTGAAATTAATAGATGGAATATACTTCTGTAGTTCAAATTTCTGATTACTCTTAATCTATTCATGCTATAATTGTTTGGTCTGCCAAGCACTATTGATGATAGTAATAAGAAAAAAATGATATTATTGAAACACTATTGCCTATATCTGCTTAACCAGTTGCTTATAAAAAAATAGTAGATGCATTTCTATGGTTTAATAAAACTTAAATTAAAATTTAATTTACAATATATGTAAATTAAGACGTATATATATCTTAATTTACAATATATACAAATATTTGTGGCATCAAAAACCTGTCCGCTGAAATTATGCATGAAAGATGATGCCAATGAATCCATCATAGCAACCCCAGATATATCAATAAGTTCAAACTATGTCAAGCTTTGTTTCAGCAATATGGTAGCAAAACAGAGTCCTACTCCTCCATTAGAAAAAAAATTTATACAAGATTCTTCCATTGCTTTTGCCAAAACAATCACTGCAATCTGAAAATTACGGAGAATGAGATCCTTTATAAGAAAGGACTGTCAAAAACTCAAATCCCGATTGCGTGTTTGAGAACTTAACCGCTTCAAGAAATATTTAAAACCATTACCATTCAATGATAAGTAGATATACTAAATTTGTAATATTAGTTCCCAAATAATTTCATTAAATTTTATTTCGAAAAATGTCATCACATGATGACATTCACATCTTTTGTAAGCATTTCGTCAATAAACAATTTTCTCATTTGATATTTCAGAACAATTTATTTCGCTATGTGTGCTCCGAAAGTGAAATATAACATGAAAGTGAGCACCATATTAAAGTAGATTTATAGAAAAACATCGCCATCACTTTTGATTCATGCACATTAAGTAATAGATTCCTTTAACTGATCAACGGTAACTAGGTTTACTGTTATTTAACAATGTTTTTTTCTTATGTTATTGATATTTTCATAACAGACTGACATAGATAGATAGTGGAATATAACAAAGTAATTCAAATATCCTCAACATATCAAAGATGGCACATAAATCGAGCATTTCAACCAAACGATTCCCTCCAATTTGTAATTTTTTCCTATTAAAATTTAGGAAATAAATGTCAAAGCAGTATTGGTTCAAATTTAATGGAAATGTTTCAACCAGTTAAAAGCCATATCTTGAAATTTTCACATAAATTTCCAAAAGGCTTCATAAAGAGGTAAAATAACTTTTCCAATTTTGGCAAAGTAAAAACACATAAGCGGCTGTGGAAAATGATGATGAAAATTACACTGCCAAGCAGCAATTGTGAAGAAAAATTTAGATAAACATCCTGTAAAGCGGAAAGCATTATACAAAAAAGTATTATACAAAGTGATTATACAGCAAAGTTAACCCCATGCTTGTGTCTTACTGTAATTGATGACTAATTTTGAATCACCGGGTGCGAAACAATCCTTTAAATTCCGCACTGTTTGATCAGGTGACGGTGCAAAACACTGATTGATGAAAAGCAACAAAGAATCGCTGTCATTGAGCTGAAATTTTTGAAGCATTACAATTGAATTTTTAAATATTGATTACTATAGAATCTAGTTACTATGAATAGAGTTCATCAAGGGTCCGATGCAAAGCGTGTTTCCTTGATAAGGGTAGAATTGGTAAGATATACTGATTTTGACTGAAAGGATTTTTCGATATTAGTAGTGAAAAAACATTAAGGAATCTGATATTTGAGTTGTTATACGTCGCCATTTTCAATTTTTTTTTTGCCACTAACGTCTGGCAGTGCTCCGCAGCTTGAAAGAATATTTTGCAATGTATGTTCTCTTGCGTATTGAGATTTTCCAATGCTTAACTATCACCTCAACAATTTCATTAGATCAAATTTTGCTTAAGGCATAGTGAATTTTTGTGAGAAGTACTCCAAAATATTATCCAAATAAGTAAGCAAAAACCTTCCTGTAATACCTTCATATAATTTCGCAAAAAAATACTTAGTTCCGCTACTGTCTTCTTTTCATCAACTGTCCATTTATTTTGCTTCAGTATTGGCGCATCACCGACTGCTTTCAATAAAATTTCAACTTTTGCACTTTCGGCCATTCTTGCAATTTTTCGATAAAATGCCACTTAGACGAGCAAAAATCTAAAATTATCTAGTTCAGAATGGCTATTCTCCTGATGTTAACGTCTTAACATATACACCTAATATGTTCAACCATTGATCTTCGTAAGCGAGTCATGATTTCGCACTTACGTCTTTGACTAATCCACAACGAGAAACTAAAAGTTAGATTAACTTGTAAACTAGAGTGCATGATCCTAAAATGTTTAAGCTAAAAAGTTATAATCAAAAATACCTTAGGCGAGATTCCACAGTTTGTACAGTGGAAGAATTATAAAAGCACAAATGCCAAAGACGACACAATTGAACAGTAATCGTTCCCACGGTTCGAGCATATACAAGCCCGTTATAAGGCAGTACTGCCTATAGTACCAAGAAAATATGGAATTATCCTGAAAAAAGTGAATTCATCATAGTTTGACGGAATAGTCCACTTCACTTAACTAGATTCTACTCTTGTTTTAAAAAGTTTTAGAGAATTCAAGACATGTTCTCCAATTAAATTATGAACTTTTGCAAGTCACTATGAGCACTAACTTTAGCTACGATATTGTCGTGCTCGTTTCGTCTCGTCTCATACATTCAATTTGAAGTGAATAATCTGAAAATCAAATATTCAGTTTTCAAAAAAAGGGACGATCTACCACATGATATATATATCACGAGTAGAAGTTAGTATTAAACTTGTTATGATAGCATAACTAACATATGTGTACCGCAATTGAAGTGTGCGATAATTAATATGATATAGTTACCTATTCGTGCAATTTGCACAATGGTGAAGCAGATTGTAGATTTGCACAATAATGAAACAGATTGTGTACATTTAAAGAGATAAAGTGAGAGATATGTTATAATGCAGATAATTTTTGCTTTAGATTAGATGAGATATACGACTATCCGTCTTGCATGGGAAGTTGTACGATATGATACTGCAAATAACGTATTCCATGCATGAGAATGAACAAGGAAAGATTAACAGTATTCGCAGCTATCTTTTAAAGTTTAAAGAGTACAGAAAATCTAAAATTGAATACTAAAAACGAAAAAACGCAAGGCGGAAAATTCTTGAAGTAATCAAAATGCAAAAAAAGGTGCTAATAGGTCGGCGTAGTCCATAGAGATTATTTCGTGTCATATCGATCCCATGCAATTACATATCTTCAGCTGTTGATTCTTAATTTTTATCAGATTTATATGTTCTCCCTATTTCTTATGTTTTATAGCATCCTTTTAATCAATGTATGGACCACTTGATATATTTTTTTATTATTATCTGTTCATATTATTCTCATGTTGTTATTCTCAATTGTTATACTATTTGTCTACGCTTTTAATCTCTGAAGCTTGGAATCTTGTTATTCTCTCGCAATTTTCTCATTCCCTCATTCAATAATATTCAATACATGCTATCTTGCGAATTTCTTCAACTTGTTTCAGGATATACATATCAAAACATAATGGGGCTTTGTAAGTGTGCGAAGAAGAGAGTAACGAGTTTATTTTGTTTTGAACATCGAGTCAACGTTTGTGAGTATTGTTTAGTGGAAAATCATTGCAAGGTAAGCCTACCTGTTACTTATAAAGTTACACTGGCATATGAGTTAGATGCTCGTCTTAAGTGTTTAATGTTGCGTTAAGATAATGAGGAAAACATTAAATTGCCTATCTTTGTAATATTACATATTATCAAATAATAGCTAAGGTTTTGACCTTAAATTATCAATAATATAAAGTTGGAAACATCATAGGTTTTCAGAGCTTTGACAGAAATGTTTTTTTTTGCCCTGAAATAAACAATATACGAATTAAGGAACATGATATCTTTTTACCTTCTTAAAATGCCAAAATTAAAGATGCAAAAGAAGCAAAAAAAAAGGAATTAGATTGCAGTGTGTTGTTCAAAGTTATCTCTCATGGTTGGCAGATAGTGATTACGATACCAACTGTACGCTGTGTTCCAAGCCATTAGAATCCAGAGAAACTGTTCGCTTGAAATGTTTACGTGTGTTTTATTTTATTTGTTTTACGTGTGTTTTATTTGATATATTATAGATGAAAATCACGACTCTAACATGCTATAGTTATTGTAGTTTGAACATAGAATTCGTTCAACGTTATATATGGCAGTTATCAATTCAGCAGCGAAGAGTAATGGATTTTATAGAAGCCAAAATAGGAGAAAGCTTAGAATACTGCAAAGCAGTTGATTGGTCAGTCGGTGTTTCCTATGATAGTTTCTCCATTTTCAGATTTGTTCCATTGGGAATGTTTAGATGGATGGGCACGTCGTTTACCGGCAAATACAGCCCCAGCTGGATATAAGTGTCAGCAGTGTCAGGAGAGTATATTTCCAGCTCCTAATCAAACATCACCGATTATTGAGCATTTACAAGCCGCGTTACAACAGGCAAATTGGGCTCGAGCTGGACTTGGATTATCCTTGGTAAGAACTAGATTTTTTTATTTTCTGGTGATTTCGTTTTATTACATTCTCGAATACACTTTCTCTGCTTACGTAATGAAGTTGCAGAGTCTAAAAATCGTACGTTGTATTTGCAACCGTTTGACTTATCATAAAAATACTGAATCTTTTCTGTTAAGTTTCACGTTATTGAATCTTTTTTAGTTATTTGATATTTTTTGGTTATCTGTATATATGTTTTCTAGAACCAAATTTATCCATTGTTTCCATTTATATACTTTCACTTCAGTTGCCAGAACTTGACAGTTTACCATCACCTGCGTCATTTATTCCATCGGTAGTAACACATTCTGTAAATGAACAACAGAAATATATGAATGGACACGATGTTTCCCATGAAGCGAAGCCCAACATCGGCAATATTCAGAGTGGTACATTAACTACTGTGGTTGATGTAGGGGACGAGTACAACCAACAACGTCAATTTACTGGTTAGTTTTTTGATTTCATTCAGTTGCAGTGGATAATGTGGCTCGTTCGATAATGAACATTTTTCTTATAATTTTTGTTCTTTCTACATATAATTTTCATTCTTGAATGATTGCTAGAATTGACCTTATTCATTAACAGATCTTATTTTTGAGTATACCCATAGTTGTTCCTGTTCCTGTTATCATCATTATATTACATTATGGAACCTTTTCACTGCCTTTAGTCTTAAGACTATCTTAGTGAAGTAAATGCATGCAGATTAAACTCTCTTCAGAATTGTTTGCTTTTAATGTTTACTTTTTCCAGTTAGAAAATCTACGAATTTGGATGAAAGCAATTATATGATTACAAGTCCTTTATTACTTCCAAAAGATCGTGATGAAGATTTGCCGGAAAACAAATATAAACGAAGATCAGCTACTGAGTGGCTAAACCGCTGGTTCAGGTTTGCAAGATTCAATTTAATTTTGTGTAGTGTTTGTGTACATTTAATATACAGGAATAGTTGGGAAAAAAACTCGAGCAACTATTTTTATAGTTTCGCATTGCTCTTATAAACTGACATCAATAACCCGAGGAAGTTCAATATTAAAAACATTTTGTTTTTTTTTCAGATCACGCTACGATAGGCGTACTATCTTTGATCCTCGTGTGCAGTGGAAACGAGGAATTTTTTATATTATAATTTGCATTATAACAGTGATGACAATATTTACAGTGCTTTCACGCCTAGTGGATAACGGATCCAATGATGATCCAGCGTTCAATCCTCTCGCTAATCCAAACATTCGTATTGCATTTTCGGAACATAGTCAATAGTATTATTTCTGGTGCTTTCCTTTCCTTTAAAATGTTCTTATTCAAAGTGATTATTGACTCGAAGTAAATGTTCAGAAGACAGAAGAAGAAGGGGATCATATAGTTATGATTTTAGTTTTTTTGATTCTTGTTTTAAATTTTCTTTTGATTTTAATTGATTTTTGCGTTGTCTTGATTTTGCAATTGCCTTGTAATATTAAAAATACAAATGTTCTTACCTTTTTTGTTATGTAATATCGAACATTCGTCGGGAACTAAATATCAGGTACACGGGATGGAGTGGTTTGATAAATTTCATCCTGAAATTTTTGCAAAATCTGTTCAGAAACTATGTCTGGCCTTCAATGTACCGTCACTTGAATTCGTATTGAATGACTGAATAGTTCACAAAAAAATTTGGCTTTTGACTTTTTTGTATGTTCGAGATGCCCGTTACACGTAGTTTGTCTACTTGGCTCTTCCTGTGAATGAGATAATTAATTTAAAAATTTCTTGAAGAATCTGAAGAGGAATGATTCTTGTCGATAATTAAGTTAGAAAATAAATAAGAATATTTCAACTAATTACTTTATCATTTTCCATTGTTCCGGCCAACCTTTTTTACATCTTTTTTAATTATATTCTTTGATTAAGCTAATCCATTCTAGTCAAAGTTAACGAGCAATCTGCTAACATGTAGTATATTAAATTCTGAATTGGCTGGCTGGAATGTAATAAACTTATTAGATTTTACAAGCATTCTACCGTAATGATTGTATGAGAGTTATATGATAATTAGGGGTATAAATTGGAACTGTGATATATAATGATTTTCATTTGTAATATTCTCATTTTGGTTAAATAATTTCGATAATTGCATGTTATGCTTTTGGCTGTATAATAAATAAAATTGAATGTATTAGTAACTTTTGGTATATGAAGGACCGGTTCATGAAACTTGTTCACTAGTACTTTTAAAATTATCTGGATTTGTTTAGCACTATTTTATCGTAAACCGTAAGCTGAGCTCTATTTCCTACAGGATGGGGAATCCATGTTTTTTTTTTTTTGATATGGTGGCATTTTACTGAAACTGTAAAAATTATAAATTTATAGCTGCTTTAAACTAAGGAGAATTTCCAATTAATTTTAATGAAGTCCAAACTTCGTTTCAAGCAGGAAGATGATGCAGATGGCATGTGGTACAGGCTTGGCTAGATTGACTGCCGGCAAGTTGCGACTGATTAGTTTGCAATCTTGTCGTGGGCAACAAACAGCAGTGCCGAAGAAGATTGAAGTTTTCATTAATGACAAGAAAATACTTGTTGATCCGGGCACCACTATATTGCAGGTTTGTACGATTTATGTTGTCTTGTTCGCTATGTCTCTGTTTATTCATTTCTACATAAGTAAACAGATTTCGCAATTTCAAAAAAACGATCTGAGTAATTTTTGAGTTATTCATTTCGAAATGTAATCGGTTTCATGTTTCATGCTCATACACCACTTGGCCTTCAGTGCTTCTCATTCTTCTTTCACGTATTGAGCTTGTGCTAATAATTATATGTCGTAAGTTGGAATCAATGAATATATATATTCCTCGTATTTTACAGAATTAATTACAGGCGGCATCAATGCTTGGTTTTGACATTCCTCGCTTTTGTTATCATGAACGTCTTTCCATAGCTGGAAACTGCCGCATGTGTCTAGTGGAAGTGGAAAAACAGATGAAGGTATAACTTTCATTCCTGATTTTAGAAGTAGAAATTACAAGTGAATGAAGCTTAAGTTTATTTTTGCTCTTGATTTCAACTTAAGTTCGAAAAAGTATGATTTCTGTCCGCTCCTTACTCTTTATTTTGATTGAATTTCATTTTTGTCACTAATTTGCAGCCAGCAGCATCATGTGCTATGCCTGTTACAAATGGCATGAGAGTACAAACTAATTCAGAGATGGCAAAAAAAGCTCGAGAAGGAGTTATGGAATTCCTACTTTTAAATCACCCACTTGACTGTCCGATTTGTGATCAGGTAGGTTAATTAGAGGAAGTGAAGTGCCCAGTAATTTATTGTTTTAAATAAATCAAAGAACAAACTTAGGATTCAATTTATTCTTCAAAACAAGTTTGATCAAGATTATGTCACGTTTAATACATTTCTATGTTTTTGGGAAGTATGCTGTTTTATGCACTGTGACAAATAAAGAAAATACTTAGCAGAGATTACACTTTTAAAAAGATGAAACTAGCTTCATTGATATTAGCAATAAAAAAACAATGCTTGAACTATCTGTGTGAATTTATGATATTATTAGGGTGGTGAATGTGATTTACAAGATCAAGCAATGGGATTTGGCTCGGATAGAAGTCGTTTGGAAATTGTCTATGATGGCAAAAGGTTTGTTGAGGAATCATTTTTGATATGTAAAGGGTATTTGTTTCAGAAACTTCAACTAATGCAGTTTTGAAATTTCTGTTGGTTGCCGACTTACATTTTGGCGTGAATTATTATTTTTTAGAGCTGTGGAAAACAAATATATCGGACCATTGATAAAAACGGTAATGACAAGATGCATTCAATGTACGCGGTGTGTACGGTTTGCCAATGAAATAGCCGGCATTGCAGATCTTGGTACTACTGGGCGTGGGAATAATATGGAGGTTTGAATCTTTTTGTTGCTCATGATTAATAAATCGGAATGTGTCATTTATTTCCTCTTTACTCACTTCACATTCATTAGACATATTCGCTTTTTTTGTTGTTAGCACAGAGCACTTATCCATCATAATGACTACCTAACTGTTCGGTATTTTGTCAGTACAAATACATTTTTAGAGAAAAAAACCTCAATATGCATTGTACAGTGATATGGTGACTTCTAGTATCTAATCGAATCGATAAATTAGAAAAATCTGATGTTTGGACAGGAATCATTTTCAGATTGGAACTTATGTTGAGAAGTTGTTCGCGACTGAGCTATCGGGTAATGTCATTGATATTTGTCCAGTTGGTGCTCTTCTTAACAAACCATACAGGTACATGTCTTTTAACCGTGTAGCATGTTTAATTATCTGCGATGAGTTAATGCCTAATTTTAGATGACCTTAAACATTATATTCTCTAAAATTTTAGAAATTTTTGCATTGTTGAATATTAATATGATTATCAACTTTATAATTTTTGATATGACAAAGTATCTTTTCTTAATCGTATTCTTAATTTTTGTACTAATGGTTAAGTTATTTCAGCTTTACAGCAAGACCATGGGAGTTGCGTAAAGTAGAAAGCATCGACATTATGGATGCTGTCGGTTCAAATATCATGATTTCACATCGAACTGGAGAACTGTTCCGAATTACTCCAAAACTATGTGAGGTAGATAAACGAAACACATAATATAGTTTCTTTGTTGATAGAGTTTGAGGTTATTCTTTACTTATATGATCTTTTAAACTCATTGTTGTTTCTTTTTATTATTTTTTTTAGGATATTAACGAAGAATGGATAAGTGATAAAACACGTTTCGTCGTTGATGGTTTGAAAAGGCAGCGACTTGGGCAGCCATTGTTGCGAACTCAAAGCGGTTCTCTGGAGTAAGTTTTCATTTCTTCAAAAAATATTCATGCATGTGCAATTAAGGTCGATATTACACTGAATTTATTGATAACTCACGACACTGTATGATCACATAATGCAAAAAAAACCATTTAAAACTTGATAAATCCTTCATTCATGAACCGGTTTGTTTGCAGGCCATGCAGCTGGGAAGAAGCGCTCTTTGCTGTTGCATCAAAATTGCGCACTGCTTCACCAAATCATATTGCTGCATTAGCAGGAGATCTTTGTGATACAGGTTCTCCTATATTTCAATAATAAAATGATTTGTTTTTGGTTTTTTAAACATAAAGAAAAAGCTGTTGCCGATTGCTTTTGCACATTTCTCTATGTCATGTTTTTATGACTTATGTAATAAAGGTTTCAGAATCACTGGTAGCTTTAAAAGATTTAATGAATCGATTTGACAGCGAATTGGTTTGTACGGAAGAATCGTTCCCAGACGGCAGTGGCGGAACGGATCTTCGGTAGCTTTTTAGAAATATTTGATTAACAGTAGGAAGTTTAATAAAATGAAAGTCAAAAAGTATTCTTTGGTTGGATTCTTTGTTAATTTAAGACTTCTGGATTTTATTAGTTAGCATTTCGCTCGATTTAATATTTTTGTAATGTATATCCCGAGATCTTTACATGTTTTCCTATTCATTCATCTTTGGGACATTTTTATTTGGCACATACCTCCAAAGCGGGTGTTTCAGATGCAACTATCTCATGAACGACAAATTTATTGGAGTAGAAACGGCAGATGTTTTATTATTGGTTGGTACTAATCCACGCTTTGAAGCCGCAATTTTCAATGCTCGTATACGGAAAAGGTATAACAAATAATTTTTTCTAATCTTATTGGATTTTTGCACTAGCTTTATGTTTGAAATTTAATTCGTCAGTTATGTAGAGTTTTAGAGCGGTATTTTTAGTTCCATTGTTTTCCGGAATCAGTCTAGATCTCGCACATTAGCGGCAAACTTATCTTTTTATCAGGTCGATGTGTGACGAATCCGTCTAGGTCTGTGTCCGAATGAATCTGGAACATAAAATTCTCTGACATGAAGCTGCATCATTTCGCTTGCTTCAAGCGTCATTATTTCAAATCGCTAAAATATTATCTTTTAGCTTCCGACACACGGATATTGAAATTGGCGTTATTGGCGAAGAAGTTGACTTAAAATATGATTATGAATACTTGGGTAATAATGGAAAAGTTTTGGATAATATAATTAACGGTAAAAGCGAATTCGCTAGGGTGAGCTTTAACTTTTTTTGCGAGCTGAAAAATTAAACCAGGTTTGTTTTGGAAGCATTTTGTGGCATTTATCAATAGTGATTTCAAATTTACTTCAAAATATGTTTAAGCGTTTGCAAGCAGCTAAACGGCCAATGATTGTTGTTGGCTCAGGTGCTTTACAAGGAAAACATGGAGCTGCATTACTTGGAAAAATTCAAGTACTCGCTGAAAAATTACGATCTAAAACTGGAAAAAGTATGAATATGATTTAACTCAGTATGAATATGATTTTCGTTATAGCTCCTACCTACTCCCGATTTTTAAATGTATTTTCACATCGATTTAAATTATGATTTAGTGATGAATTGATTAGTTTGAAAATGTCTCAAACAACTTGACTAAATCGCAATGTATCATTTCTTATTTTCTTTATTCTAGGGAAATAAAACAATTTAACTATAGTACTCTACCATACATTAAGATTGCAGATTGCAGAATCATCAAAAAAATAAAATTTGTTGAAATCAAAAACTAGATATTTGTCTGTTATTTTAATTTTAGCTGTAAAAATAGTGAATATTTTGCAACGATATGCATCACAAGTTGGCGCTTTGGATGTTGGTTACAAAGTGAGTTTCTCGAATTTCTACTATATAATGTGGTACAGTGTAAGTAAAAATAAGCGTAAAATAGATTGTAATTTGTAGTAATCTCAGGACTGTTAGGATCGCGTAGATTTCACTACATTCGTCGATGATACAATTGCAAGCTGAGGATGCAGATAGAGTTCTATTTTGAACGATCATATGACCTTTATATAAAAACTGTATATTCTGCACTATAACCGAGAGAAATTTGTATTTTTATGCGCTCCTGATTTTACTTAACTGTTTAGGCTGGAGCCGAGTGGATCTTAAATTCAGCTAAAGACATTAAGTTTTTATATATGCTTGGCGCTGACGGTGGTCGTATCAAAAAGAATGATTTGGCTTCCGATGCTTTCGTTGTTTACCAAGGTTAATAAATATTAAAGTCGATACAATATGTTGTTCTTGAATAAAGGCTAGGAATATTTTGAAATGGCTCTTCTAAAAAGTTAATGAAATGAGTTTTTAGGTCACCATGGAGATGTAGGAGTTGGGTTGGCAAATTTGATCTTGCCAGGTGCTGCTTACACAGAAAAGGATGCCACATATGTTAATACCGAAGGCCGAGCACAGAGGGTTGGTGTTCTAATTTTTCTGAAGTATCTTTGACCTTTTCTGGGATTTCTTTCAAGAATATCACTGCATCGATTAGTTGAGTGAGATGATTGAATTTGAATTTTTAAACGGATTCAGAAATTCCGCATGTTTTATGCTTAAATTATGCTGACAAAGCACTATACTTCGAGGAAATTCAAAAATTCATTTGAATTTTTTTGATGGTTGATTACTCTATAAGCTTTCTGCATATCCAAAATCGAGACATTGTTTGTATTGGTGATCTTGGCAAAAAAAGAAAATCATAAATTAGTGTAATGCATAAACCACGTTGTTTTCTTTATGCATTGCGTAGACTGACAATGTACAGAAGCAGTTTTTCACGATCTTTTTATTCAAAATACTTGGATTATACTACGACCCATGAGTTAATTCGTTGCTTGATATAATCCTTGTCAATTTATAAATTGTAATTAGGAAACGAGAAGCAATCACCAAATAACGGAATTATCTAATTTTTATTGTTCTTTAATGGTTTCAAATTCATAGGCTTATGCTGCAATAACTACTCCAGCTGATGCGAGAATAGATTGGAAAATAATACGAGCTGTTAGCGAAGTAGCTAGGAAACCTTTACCTTATGACGATCTTGACCAAATGAGAAGTCGAATGGCCGAGGTTGGTTCTTTGGTCTCATAATAATTCAGAAATTTATCGCTTATTTCTCACATTGACAAGTTTTGGTTTCTTTTGTGATACTTTTGAAAGATTCCAGATTGCTCCTCACCTAGTGCGATGTGGCAGCGTCGAAGAATGTTCATTCCAAGAACAAGCGACTATGTTAGCGGAAGTGATTTTTTTTGATTTTTCTCTTTTTCGAAATTTTTGTGTCGATGATCTAGGCATCACTCTTCATCATTTCAATCCTTTGAAGAAAGTTAGACTTAACTAATGAGTAGTTTTTCGGAAAACTTACTATATGCATCATCCATTCGTGCACTGTTATGTTGAAGCGAAGCCGATGTCAAAACATTTTCAATAGTTTTCACATAGATTATTCGAGTTACTATCATTTATTTTACTAATTAGAATTCGAGGAAATGCATAACAATAAATTGTTCTGGATGGAGAATTCAAATAATTTTGATTAATCAGAAAATATACATAAATTCCAAATTATATGTGAGAATTTCAGTCTGGAAACACTGATATTGTATTGAAACCGGAACTGCTTGAATTGGGTGATTTTTGGATGACAAATTCAGTATCTCGTGCTTCGAAAACGATGGCTGAATGTGTCCGTGCATATCAACGCTACAAACAGGATCCTTACGTTGAAGAAAATAAATCTCTCTCTGTGTAGTGTCATCTTAATTCCCTACCTCTCAGCAAAGAGAGCAAAACCTAAAAACTTTTTATATTTTGCGTTAGCAGATATTAGTAGACATTTTATATTATGAAAATTATGTATAATTTTCAAATTGTAATTTACGAAATTGTAATTTTATTGTACAGCCTGTATATTTATTGCATTGCCAAAAAAAAAGAATACAGTGCCCTTGTTAGGAAGTTCTTCATATGTAAGTATCTTATAATATTGTTTACTCCGATACAATCTTTTTTTTCATTCAGACAAGCTATCTGTTGTACATTAATAACACATACCTTCTAATATGTTTCGAATAAATACAAAAATTCACTGGAAATTCTGCTTATCCAAAACACCTCGACATGCCTCATTAACTTTAGTAGGCAGCAAATAGGAAGAAAGCTACAAAATACTATAAGCATACTGCATTAGAGAAAATCATCTAATAATAAATAAACAAATAGAAGTACTGGCTTGAACAGGTAGGTGCTTCTGCTATTCCAGTTATATCATGAATAAGTTGAATCATCCAGCAGTATATTATTATTATGCAGGCTCTTTTCATCCTCTTTCATCGATCTTTCCATCAATTAATCATAACACTTTACATATTCTGTCATTAAGCAAAATAACATTGAAATAGAATCCTGGCACGTTCTTCTTTCATTAGCAATACTATTACAATTAAAGATAAAAGAACAATTTTTGTAATAACTTAATGATATCAATCAAAATGCCAGGGCATATGGAAAGAGGCATATTTCGATCAGCAAAAAAAAGTTATCATAAATTATTAATGTTATCATGATTATAGAAGAAAGTTAAAATTCGATCCTTTTTTTAAAATTTAACTTCACTTTAATTCAATTCATTTTGTTTCAGTATAACTTTCAGTTCCTAAAGCTTTCAATCGTCTTTTCAACAATGCTCGTCTCTTTTCTCGCATACGTTGTTCATATATTTCGCATTTCTCCTTTTTTGATAATGCTGTTTGCTGAAATTTTGATTCTTGTCGTAAACATTTAAATAATTTTCATCACATTCATTTCAATTTTAGTTTATTAAAAGAAAAAGATACAAGAGTTTTTCCTTCTAATTATTATATGTTATTATTATATATTATTATTCTAATTATTATTATTATATTATTATTATATGCAAATGATATTAGCTTAATGTGTTTTATTGCATTCTAATTGATGAAAATGAAATCAAGTTAATTTTTAATTATAAATTATCAAATTATTGAACTACTTAAATACTAACCGTTGTTTTTCGTACAACAACAAATGCTCGTTCACGTTTATCAATACCAATTGGTCGTGAATATTTGAGTAATGCACTAAGACGAGATTTTGGATTCATTGAAAATTCCAGCATAAGAATCACTTGTGCCCACTTTTTGTTTAAAATTATAAAATTAAGCAAAAAAAATAAAAAAAAATGCTGCAAATTTCAACAAAAAGATTTATTGATCATTTTAATCATTCATTATTCCGTAGTATTTATTATATGCATAGTTTTATTTATCAAAAAAAGATCAAATGAGGAAAACCTGTCGTTTCCATTCAGTTTGTGTTCCGGATATTAAATCATATGTTCTACCCATCATTGCGATCAATAAATTAAGTTGCATAACGCTTACAAATAATTCGTAGATAACAAACATTATCTTAAATAAAAAAAACAATTTTATATTTCTCGATGATACTATTTAATATCATGATGGTACTATTTAATGTCTTGATGATACTATTTAATGTCTTGATTTTTCTATTTAATGTCTTGATGATACTATTTAATGTGTTCGGACTTTTTCGATTTGCTAAATCCAAAAATTATTTATTTCATTCTATCATTTTTATTTCTCTTGTTTTTATTTTCAGCCTATGCTTTTATATACGATTTGCTTCTTATAGAAATCATAATTTTAAAATATGTTTGAAAAATTTAAAAATATTAAAAAATTGGATGGAAGAAAAAAAGTAAACAATAATTTTAAATATTGATAATAGTTATAATAAAATGATAATTTAATGATAGTAAATGACGAATTAATTAACTGTATTTTAGCTAAATTGTACATATTTATGATTTCAGCTTAACTATTATTATTATTATTTATAGACAGAGAATAAGCTACACGTATATTTTGATGTAATCATAGGTTTTTGCAATTCCTACAACAATTCACTTAAGATCTTTATAAAGTTTTATTTTTTAATTTTAACCCAATACACATATTTTACTCATATTCATCTTATCGAATTATTTCTTGTAATTTTTTTTTCAAATTTATCAAATAATTGCCAACCTTGCCAATATACATCATCATTGTTTTATCACATAATACGACCATTTTACGATAAAAAACCATAAATTCACCGATTGTCATGATAAATATTCTCATGACAGCTTCCATTGGATGATTCAAAATATCGTCAGTTTGATTTGATACAGTAACATTTTGATATTTAGCTCTTTGATTATTACATGACATAAAAATAATATAAAATGCTGCAAGTAATTAAGCAAAATTAAATTAATTAATTGATTGAAAAGAATTTTCGAAAAAAAATTATACATATTATTTTGCTACAGTAAGAAGATAAAGGAAATTTTCATTATTATTATTATTACTTAAATTTTTATCCATTGATAATTCAATTTTATAATATTAATATAAATAAAATGTTAGCAAATTTTTGTGTAGTATTAAAAAATGTTAAAAATTGTTTTTGAAAAAATTAATGCTAAAATTAAATGTATTTAAAAATTAGCATTAAAAAATTAAACCTGAAAATTACGATTTGTTAAGACAATGGTTTAAGATGAAATTTATTGAATAGATTAAAAAATAATAGTAAAATTTTAAAAAAGAAGCACATTTGAATAATTAATTAATGAATGAGATTGTGAGATTGATTAATGACGATGATTTTAATTATTATACATTCTCAGTTAATGAATGATGACATGAGAATGAATGAGATTGTGAGATTGTTATTAATGATGATTATAATTAATATACATTTTCAAAAACAAAAGAATTAATGAATTATAAAAATTAGTGTGATGTGATACATAAATGTATAAAAATTATATGAATAAAAATTAATGTAATACTTACACTGAGAAAAGCCAATTAAAAAAATAGCATAGATAAGGAAAAATCGACTTAAATCTCGTGATAATATCGTATATATCATTAAGACGAATGGTCCAATAAATTTTACAGCTCTTAAATTTTAGGTTTAATTAAATTTGAAGTGAAAAAAAATTTTTGAATTTTTTAAAATTACCATGAATATGTTAAATTACCATGAAATTACCATGAATATCAATATTAATTATCAATATTAGTTTTAAGTATTTTAAATAATAAATAATTAAAATTTTCCGATTTTTTAAAATTTCAAATTATTCATTATCTATTATTTCATTACATGCATATTTATATTATTATCCCAAAATTGATATTTATTATTTATATTATCTCAAAATCGATATTTATTATTTACATTATCCTAGAATCGATATTTATTATTTATATTATCCTAGAATCGATATTTATTATTTATATTATCCTAGAATCGATATTTATTATTTATATTATCCTAGAATCGATATTTATTATTTATATTAACCCAAAATCGATATTCACTGTTTATATTATCCTAAAATCGATACTTATTATTTATATTATCCCAAAATATTTATTACCCGATATTTATAATTTATATTATCTCAAAATAAAAAAGTAAAAATATTTCCAATCTAACTTATACCATTTTATATTTCATTTCCTGCCTTATAATCGAAAACCTAATCAGTTCTAAATTTATTCTATTCTTTTATTTATAATTAAAATTATTCCTAAGTTTTATTTCAATTAAATATTCTAATTTTTATTTTTAATACTTCTTAAATCCGACAAAATTTTTCGACATTTTTTTTCCGCCATATATTTAATTTAAAATTAATTAGTAAAAAGAAAATAAAAAAGGGATACCTTGAATAAAATAAAAAGTGTACACTGATAAGAAGTACAGCAAGCAACGAGAGTGCATTATCAAAAAAGAGCATTATCATTGTTGATGTCAATGAACACATCAAACGAAATGGTATTATCAGTAGAATTAATATGAATGATATCTTATATGCGACCTTTGCTGGGAATGATTTCTAAGAAATATTAATTATTCTCAATTATTCCAAAATGAGAAGGGATAAAATTTTATTGTTTAAACTTATTTAAATTTTATTGCAAAAAACAAAATAATAAAATATGTGAAAAATTGCAATAACAATTAATTTGTTTATTTAAAATACATTTTAAATAAACAAATTAATTCTTTGAAAAAAGGAATACATTTTAAATAAACAAACAAACAAACATTTAAAATAAACAAACTAATTGTTATTAATGTTAAATAGACAAAAGAAAGAAATGGACATCGTAAAACTGACCAACATTCGCCACCATCGTTTTCGTCCACTACTATGAATATCCATTGCATCATCAACAATTTGAAATATTGTCATCAAAAGTACTGCAATTTCAGCTACTAAACGAAGCTGAAAAAAATGATGAAAAATATGAAAGATTTTAATCTTTATGCAATTGTTGAAATTTTGCAACTAATTAACTATCATACTAATTAATATATACTTGATTAATTTATGCTTATTAAAAAGAAACTCTTTTTTTCAAGTTAGAAAAAAGTTTAATACAAACATGTTGTTGCCATCCATGTCCAAAATACCACCAATAATGGCATGAATAATCATTAGATAATAATTGACCTATTAAAATATTTCCAATTATTAAACAAATCGAATCATTTAGGTGATAAACTTTTTAATCCGATTAGCAATAGTTCGTTTCAGTGGTTTTCACTGATCGATATGCCTTTTCGGCCAATTACCATAACTGCCAAATGATTCAAATCAACTGGCAGAAAAAGAAACCAAATGAATTACTTATTTTCAGATAGGATTAAAATTGTTAAAATTAAATGATAGAACAAAAGAAATTATGAGAAAGTAATACTTAATTTGCATTTTCTTCCCTTTGTATTAAATTAAGTGCTATTTTTGAATTAAAAATTTTTTTAACACAACAAAGATCCTAAACGTGTATTCCATCAGATTGAAAATATTTCTTATTATAATCATTGAAAGCTGTACACTTTGTTTCAATTTAATTATCATTTCATGTCGCCTAGAATATTATATTTTCATAAATCCATTCTAACAGTACTGAAATCAACAAAATTGCTTTTTTAAGTTACTAAATTTAGAATCATACCAACATTTAATTTAATACCATTTTTAGTACTATTTTATTAGTAATATCAGTAAAGAGGAAATGTTGGGTTACGATATAATTAAGTCGTAATTTCAGCATAATACATTTAATTGGATCATTGAATTTATGATAAAATTGATTGATAATCTGAGATGGATAAAAAAATTAAAATAAATAAAAAAGAATCCAACCTAATTTTTCGACCTGTGTTTGATTTGCTTTTATCACTGCAATTAAATTTGTTATTGTTTCCGCATTAGCAGTTTTATTAAATGATAATGAATCATCGTCGAACGTATCCGTTTGATTCAAATATTTCGCAGCAAAAGCCTATAATTTATAATTCATTCATATACTTTCAAACATATCTATTAATATACTACAAATTTTGTTGTTTTATCGTAATGACAATTTTTAAATTAATTTAACGATGTAAATTCCATGAAGTGTCATCATTAAATCTCCGTATTCTTGATTCAATTGTAAATTTGAATAAATATAAATTAATTAAAATAATTACTCAGCTGTGCTAAGATTATTCCAGGTAAGTTAAAAATTTGACAAACTTATTGAAATGTTTTATTTTTATTTCGATAGTTTTAAATTTCAATTTGTTGAAGTCATTCAAAAACAATTGGATATTAAATTGCAAGAAATAAAAATAATCATTCTTGTGTAATTTTTTCTTTTTTGTTTTACAACAAAATTACTGAATGTTACCCAAAAAGATGTCGTAAATGGTCGACACATAAATGCCGCAAAGGTGCAAATGTAAAAGAACAAGTAGCAACCAAATGATATTGCAAGCCTAAATATAATAAATAACTTATTGTTGATAACTTCTAGAAATTTTCATTTCATCTAAAAGAAATAATAATTATTGTTTAATAGCGAATTTAATAATTTGTAGTAATAAAATTTTTAATTAATATTTCAATGGATCAAACGATAATTATAACTGTAGTTATAATTATCGTTTGATGACTAATGACTAATGAAAATGACTAATGAATCAAACTGTAGTTATTAAATGACCAATAATCAAGCGGTAATTATTAAATGATCGATGAATCAAACGATAATTATTAAATGACCAATAAATCAAGCGGTAATTATTAAATGACCAATAAATCAAAACATTTAATTATTAAATGTAATTATTAAATGGTCAAATAAAGTACCATCATTTTTTTAATGAAATTTTTTTAGAATTAAATTTTATTATGAAATTATTTTTATAGGAATATCATTTATAGTTTAAAAAAATTAAATGAATTTGAATTAAACCGTGTTCGTCCGAATGATTCCCATTTTACTTGTAAGAGATCACCCAATAAACCATCAAGAAGTTGTAAATGTTTCGTCGATTCCTAAATAAAATTACAGTAAGCTTCTGTTTAATTACTTATCAAAGAAATTCTTTTTCTTTTGTGAAACACAATTCAACAGTGTATGATTAAATTTACATGCTTTTGATTATTATGATAAAATGATGAAAGAAAATTTTGAGATATATTTACCCCATAAACGATTAATGATAGAGCACTATCTTCATTAAGTTCACCGGTTTCCTGATTAATGGTATCAAGTTTTGCAAGTGGATAAGCATAACTACTTACATCACCATACATCCAGATTACATCTGCCTCTAATTTCAAAATTTGTTCAAACATCTGGAATGATATTATTTACTGATCTCTAATCTATTTTCAATTATTTTTTAGAATGTGATATGATATTTGATTTTTTCCAGACAACGGAAATCAATTATATCTAAATATTTCAAAGTTAGTTAGCCAACCAGTAAAATCTTAAATATCGATTTTGAATAGAAATAATTGTTTGACCGAGGCATAGGGATATAACCTGGTAGTTCCTGGATTGGCAATATAATCGAATATGTATGAATTTATAGAATATATGGCCCGGTAATTCTTGGATTGGCAATATAATCGAATATTTATAGAATATATGGAAGTTTTATTTTTGAGGAGTTTAATGTGGGACTTTTAAACTTTTAATTTTCAAAATAACTCTATCACTTATCTCTTTTTTTGCCAAATGAGCTGCCAATGTTAATGGTGTCAAATTTTGATTATTCATCATTTGCAATTTAGCACCCGTATCGTAACAGAGTTTTAACATTTCCTAAAAATTTCTCACTCTTGCAATAGTATTAGTTAATCGATAAGTTTTAATAAAATATTCCTACCATTATTTCAAACTTCTACAATTAAGGAAAAGGAGTGAAATTTTGGAAAATGATGATCGCAGAAGGGAAATGGAATTGGAAATAAAGTTTCCAAGTAATAAATATGATATTATTAATTCGTGAGGGTTATTTTTCAAAGCCAAATGAATGTGTTACAATTTGAAATAGGTAAATTAAGTAAGTATTGGAAATTAAAGTATAAAATTAACATTTACCGGTAGTTCATGAATCACAGCCAGATGTAGTACTGTATTACCATTAGTATCTTTATGATTCGGATCAGCATGTTTTGCAATTAAAATACGATAACAATCACTCTGATTGATGCATGCAGCAAATGACAATGGATATTCTCCGAAATACATTTGACTACAATGGTATACTTTTAATTACTCATGTTAAATTACAGTAGATTAACGGAAAACATATTGTAACTTTAATTGAAATTTAACCTTTATCCCTAAATTTAATTCGAGAATATATGAAAATCACTAAAACTGGATATTTTCGGGATAGGTGATTTTAAATCAAACTTTATATGTTAATTACTGAGAATAAGTTAGGTCAAATAACCTTCGACATTAATAATTTATATATTAAGTGAAAATACTTTCTTACTACACTGATCTTTTCTATAATAAATTTACATATGGATTTTATAGTATCGTAATTTCAAACGAATATAGTTGTAGTAAAATATTAGTTTGAGAATTTTTAAGCTAATTTAGAGAGAAGCCAAATATTCGATAAAAATGGATGAAAGGATCAATTGAAAATTTTCTACCCGTTATAAGTGGTTTTTAAACCAAGATCAACATATTCATGTTCTAATGAATCGGTACGACTGCTTTTTTGATCAATTGGACAAAAAAATGCTCCGTAGCAACGTTGATTAATATTAGCACCATGTCGTAGTAAAAACAGTACCATAGCAGGATCTTCATTTATAATTGCTAGATGTAAAGGTGAAAGGCCTATAAAGGAATATTTTGAAATTCGTTTATTTCATTATACTAAATTATTATTCTATATTAATCATTTATTTTATGAAAATTAAATTTAAACATATAAATATAATAAATAAATAATTGAAATATGACTTAAATTTGAAATGAATTAATTAGTTTGAAATATAATTGGAATTAATTAATTAATTACAAAAACGATATTTAAAGCAATTTTAATTAGTATTTTATATTTTTATCACTTTTCTATTCAATATTTTATAATAATTAACAACAAAATTACCATAATAATCTTCACTAATGAATATATCATTGACAAGTTTTGGATATGCTTTAATTAATTTCATAGCAAGCTGATTATGAACAGCTGTTCCCTGTAACAAACAAACACCAACAAGATTTTCGCCCATTAAACCACGTTCCTCTAATTTCCACGTTACTTCACGATATTTCCATTCTGATTTTCCACGTCTATCATGTCCTTCGAGTAATTTAAGAGCTGAAAATGTAATAAAATTGCATTTAAAAAATTGAAGACAAAAATATCCGTAATTTAAAATTATAATGAAATCAATAATTTCACACAATTGAGCATTATCGATTTAATTATTTATAATTATCTAAAGTTTTCTGCATTTATTGATTTTATTTTATTCAGTCTGCAAATTATAAATGAATTTTATTTCTTTGCCAAATGCTTTGACTTATTTCAGATTAAATAAAACTAAATTTAATTAAGCTACCTGAATTCAATTAAGCTTTAAAGCTAGTTGATATGTGCAAAAAAAAAAATTCTATAGAAAATTGAATTAACAAATACCTTTTTTAAAATCACCCTGATTTTCACCTTCTTGTTGAAATTCATCGAGAATATTTGGTCCACTTTTACCTTTACCTTTTTTACGCTTCAATGCACTAAGCATTGCATTCCGTTCTTTATTTCGAATTTTCACTAATTCAGCTACTGCTACCAATTTACCTTTTCCGGAATTGTACATAAAATCTTTTAGCTGAAATATTCCCATTGTTATGTTTAATGAGTTAATTAAAAGTACAGTGTAATAGCAAAATTTTAAAGCTGAAATATTTCAAAAATTAATTAGCAAATATTTTGTGAGTGTTTGTAATTTTATTATTATTAATTTGATTAACAATAATTATTTCATTTAGTTTTCTCATTTAATTATTTTAGATAGAGATATTGGCTACAATCCAAAAATGATTTCAAATCCGAATGATAAGTGATAAAAAAACAATTGTAAAATAAATATGATAAATATATATGAATGTGCAAAATGAACCTTTGTCTCAATAAATTCATCAATGATCGACGAATCACCCGTTGTTTTGGCATGTTTCATTTGTGGAATTAATTCACCACCACCGTACATATCAACATAATGATAAAGTTTCGGAGTTGCTTTTTGCTGTTTACGAATTCCATCACCTTCCTGTCCTGATGATTCAGCATTTCCCATTTCTTACTTTTCTAGGCAATAAACTATTTGTGAGAACTTTAAGAAATTTAGGAGAAAACTTTTATATTCCGGAATCAGATGAAGTATTTCTTCTTGCCCTGTAATCCTGAATTATGGAATATTTCTTCGAGAAAATTTTTCCGGAAAAAAGACTGCATTAAAGAATGAACCAAAACAATATGTTGCTGTTATTTTCAAAAATTATTTTTGATTTTATGAAAACAGTGAAGTGTTGCAATTTTTTTAGGCTTGTTGAAATGGATTTTTATGTAATTTGAAAATTGAATATTTTATTTTCATTTTACTTTTCATACAATCAATTAATTCAATTAGTAAAATGAAATTAATTTTCTTCCTAAAAACTGATACGGTAATTAATGTATTACGATAAATTTTTTAAATAGGAAATTTTGTGCTCCTAAACCTTATGAAAAAAAGACTTAAGTAAACCTTATAGAGTACCACTAAAATAAAACTTTATAGAGTACCACTAAAATAAACTTTATAGAGTACCACTAAAATAAATCTTATAGAGTACCACTAAAATAAACCTTATAGAATATCACCACCAATCGACAACATCGCTTTTGTTTGCTAAAAATGACACAACTCAAGCAATTAAAATGTTATATAATATCATTAATACGAAAATAATAAATGATTTATTAATGCTGTTAGAATGTCTTATTTATTATACCTGTTGATCGATGATTATAACTACAGGTATAAAATATAATTATGTTTGATGACTACAATTTTCACATCTTTTCTTCATCGCTAATAAAATTGCAATTGAAAACGAAAGCATTTCTTCTTTAGCACAATCTTTGAAATGATTATGTGAAAGAATATATGTCGTAATTCATTTTTTATATCCGAAAAATATATGAAAAAGAATAGACAAATGAATTAGCATATTTCGATATAATTTCAATAACTATAGATCGGATAATTTCTTTTAACTCTTTGATCTTTTATTTATCACTATGTAATCAATTGGAATAGATAAATTATCGCTACTATACTAATTCCATCTGACTGCGTAAGTTTCTTCTTTGAAATTTGCATCAAAGTTTTTTTTTTCTGGAACTTCATATATATATAGTTTTTCCCATTCCGAATCAATTAAATAATTGTTTATTTTATTTATCACTATGTAATCAGTTGAATGGATAAATTATCACTACCATCTTAATTCCATCTGACTACATAGACTTCTTTGAAATTTACATTAGAGTAGTTTTTTTTCTACAACTAAATATATATATAGTTTTTCCTGTTTTGAATCAAATAATTGTTGATCTTTTTCTTTTGATCATTAATTATCATTAATCAGACCTATTTTTAATTCATTCGCTTATCTTTATAATTAATAATTTCATTTAATGAATAAAATGATCAGTCGTGATAATAGTTTTAACAAGTTAGTTTACCATCTCAAAAGATTACGCAGAACATTTAATTCCTCAAAGTCTTGATCGCCATTTATCGCTTTCTTCTTAATCATGCAAAATTTATTGGATAAATGCGATAAAGCGATTAGATGATAGAAAATGTTTCAAATCTTATTCCATGCCAGGTAGTTTATGTTTATATAAGAAATTACCTTTCTTATTTGCTTTTTAATTTTAGCCAGCTTGGTAGTTTGAATATTTGACTTAACTCTTAAATCATCATTTCTGCACAGAATACGAATTATGAAATATTGTATATGATAATTTATATATGTATTTATCAATCAATCAATCAATCTATCTATATATCTGTCTATCTATCTATCTATCTACCTATCCATCTTTCTATTTATCTATTTATCTTTTTATCTATCTATCTATCTATACATTTCGTTTTCCGAATTTCTTTTTTCATTTTCAAAATGTTTGAAATAATAAATCACCGTTGCATTTGTATGTTTTAAAAAATTTAAAGATTGCTCAGGTAGAAAAATTATAATCTTTTTCCCCATCAACAATACATGTGTATTATCAAAATTTATCAATTATTGAAATATATATGGAAAATTTTCATTATTTGATCATTTAATTCGACAGGAAAAGTTGAACATCATTAGATTGCTTGCGTATCATCTCTATCTTTGCGACATAAAACCTGAAAAAATTGCCGTTAAACGATCATGTAGTTGATCAGATAATTAAATTGTATTGAAATATGATATATCTTATATCAAATTTAGTCAACTTCATTGTATTCTCAAAGGATAATCATTTCAGCTTTTTGAAAAGCATTAAATTAAACTATCAAACATCTTGATGTCAACTTTCCTGGAGTATTGAGATGATGAGTTCATTGAATTTTACCAAGAATTTAAAATGATAGAGAAATTGTAGACAAAATTACATCAACAATTCAACAGATCAAAATTTTAATATCGCTAACGCCTACTATCATTGATGTTGCAATTTTTGTGCTCTAATAGGAATTTCTTAAATTTATTGTACTCTTTGAAATTATAAAATTGCAAAAGTAAATTTGTTGAAGCTTGCAGTAAGTAATTTACTTTAAAATCATAAATTGCACTTCCTTCTAATCGAAATACTTCGTTTTTTATTACAGTTGTTGCAAATTCTTCTTTTAAATCTGCTGATCCTAAAATAAGCAAAGAGAAAAAAAAAACGTCGAAAATTTTCAACATTTTTACTTCTATGTTCAATTAGTATGAAAACTTCTGTGCTTCAATTCATTCTTCTAATCAAAATTTAATTCAATATTTGGTATTATAGTATTCTCCTTTTTTAAATCTACAAAATTCAATTTCTTTTTCTTTATTTTTCCGTTTTATTTTCTGAACGATTTAAGAAAACGAAACACCAACTAACCTAAATATTCGTGTCCTTCTTTATCAATCACTAATACACACGGCGCAGCAAATCCAATACGTACCGGATACCATTCTTTTGAACCGATTTTTGCCGCTTCACCATACGGTTGCCAGCTGTAATCGAAACCAGCTGCAGAAGGCGGTATCTGCACCAAAAGTTGCAACGAACCAATAACTCTATTCAAAAATGGCATTTTTCTGCTGAAAATTTCATTACTTTGCAGGTATTAAATAATTAATGAAAGGATGGAAAAATTTTATTTGCTTAAAAAAGATCAGGTAACTCTCAAGACTTAAATGCTACCAAAGTGATCACATACCGTTTATATACCGTAAATTAAGCAATAAGATACTGTAGAGTAAGTATTGTGATAAGTGAAAGACTCACTTCTTGTTAGTAATTTTTCTTTATCATTCATTTATTTTTTTCGTTAATTAGTAGCATACTTTATTATTTGACAATACGATAATAAATTAACAAAAATTAATAACAATAAATGAATGATAAGAAGGTTAAAGGGATGATGAAATGCTTCGATATGAAGATAATCAAATGAAAAGCTTTAGAAAGTAAATATAAATAAACGAATAAAAGATGATTTACTAGTTAAGTAATTTTAAATGTGAAAAATAATTCAGTGATAAAATAATATAAAAAGCTAACAATGATTATATATCATTCATTATCATCTAATTGCTAACCTTACAAATGCAGCAGCAATTTTACCATTTGCATCATTCCATGCTCGACCCATTATTGCTTGGCCAAAATGATACCACAATGCAACATATTGTTCTTCTGGGCCATTTAATGTATTCAATGGACGATTTAACGCTTTGATTAAACGTCTTAAAAATTTACTTCAGAAATGAAATTCATAAGTTAAACCATTAAAATTTATTAATAAGATTTCTGATAAAAAATGAATTGAAAATTTAAACACTTTGTTTTAGGAAATGTATCACCGATACGGTAATCAGCCCATTCGTTAACCATTAATAGATGATTTGGTGAATGTGTCGCCTGTAGTATAATTTAATAATGAATTAAATGCAAAAAATTCATTTGAAATTTATTATCAAAATTTTTTGAATAAATGCGCAAATTTCTTACCTTTTCCAATGCCTCTATTTTCATGCATTGTTCACAACAACAATTAGGTGGCCTATCACGAAGATTGCGCATAAGTATGAGACAATCATAGAGTTCCGATTCTGTTAGTGAAATAATTTTCTAAAATTAAAATACGATTTCAATTTAGCAATCAAAAATAAGCCGTTAGTAAAAGAGATGTGATAATGAATTATTTTAAGCTTAACTTAAAATGATAAACATACCAAGTAGAGGAATGTGATAATGAATTATTTTAAATTTAACCTGAAATGATAAACATACCTCAGCATATACAAATGTTGCAGTTTTTTTCTCAATGTTTAATGTTCCTAAACTTTTTCCTGGCAAAAAAATGACCCCAGTAGAAGTACCACAACATAACGGTACACGAAATTCATCATTTGAATGGCGTAACCATCTGGCATATTTTATCCATTCATAGAAGAAACCTTTGGTAGTATGATTACCATCATATGTTAATATCTAAAAAGATTATTTCATCTCTTATAAAATAATTAAATAATCAATGGTAAAATTTTAAGAGTGCTTTTTTAATCAGCGTAGTATAATTTTATTGATTTCTAAATATAAATGATATATGGAATAGGATGGCTGAGTGTTCCCAGATAATGAGAACAAAAATTTAGAAACATTTTAACCTATATTATTAATTAAAAATTTAACAATTTAAAAGTGAATATTTTAAACTAATTAAATTGCAACCTGTCGATAACAGAAAGGTAAATATTCCTATGATATATGTTAGTATGCTACATGAAATTCAAATCAATTAGATACCCGTATTTTATCATTAATATCTGATCCGTTCAACTTTACTTGTCCACAAGCGAATTCACACTGAAAATTATAGCAAAAATAGTATTTGATATGAGTGATAAATTAATATGATTGAATTTTTTAGAAGGGTTATAAAGTTTGAAATTATTAAATTTACAATGCTACCTTGGAATATATCAGTAATTCAGATATCAATAATAAATCAGATATCAGTAATAATAAATCAAACATCAGTAATAATAAATCAGATATCAGTAATAAAACAGATATCAGTAATAGTAATAAATCAGATATCAATAATTGGAATTTAAGGCCAGAATTTCAACAGTTTCTTCTTATTTAATTTATCGATAAAATCTTGAACAAGTCATTTTACATTAAAGAAAACGAATTAAAAAGAATTTGAAAAACTTCAAATTCACATTGCCTTAACAAAAAATAGGAAAACTTTAATAATTTGAATTAAAAATATATTTCAGTTTTTAAATCTATATGCTTTTAAAATATAATCGTAAATGTCCTTTTATTTTTTAGAGAAAAGAAAATATTGTTAGAAAGGGGAACCTGTATTTACCTGTACTACGCCATTTTCATTCCATGCTTTACCAAAATACACCAATCCTTCTTTATCATAACGTGCAATATACATATTATTTTGATCGGGTACTTGTACTGGATTACTTACTAATGCTGTACCAACAACTTGCTCTAACCAACTATCTTCTGATGCTTTTTTCTAGATTAATAATTACTTAATTATATAAATTATTTCATTCATAAATTCATTAATTTACTATTGTTCTATTTCTACATTAAGAGTATCATTTAATTTTAAGAAATTTATAAATTCATGAAGCTACTTATAATATATATATATTCTGATAATTGATTACTTTGATCAAAGGCATGAAGCTTATCTAACTCTTTTTTTCAACCTCACTCACTTACAAATTTATTAACACTGCAAATGATATATGTAAGTTTAATGCTTTTATAATTTCATTTATTCCTACACAAAACTATTTGCATGGCGAATTTTTGTAAAATATTCAAAATACAAGTTAATTTAAATTTTAATTAAATTAATTTTCAAAATCTGAAACTGAAATTACCACTAATTTCATGTAGTTTTAATCGTCAAATAATTTTATAATATAGATTAAATAATTGATCTGCTATAACTTATATAATTAATTGTTTATAATGAATTTTGAAATTATTATTCATTTTAATATTTGATGCCTTGTTGACATGACTATGACAACGTCTGTCAAGTATTTAATTAGATTTCTCTATTTTTTCTTATACTTTACCTTATATTTATACCATCAATAAAGTGTCTACATGTGTTTCACTACTATATTAAAAATTATTTAGATTCAAGTGAAGCCATTCCTAACTTCTATCACTTTCAACAAATAATCCCGAATTATATTCTTTCGGATCGTTTTTCGGAGTTTTACGAAACTCATCAAATGATCAACAACTCTATCATTGGTAGATTCTGATTATCACTCATCGAATGATCAACAACTTTATCATTGGTAGGTTCTGTTAAATAACCTATGACTGTCAAATTTTCAATTAAATATCATCATCATTAATGAAACTATCAAATTACTCCATTGTTTCAAAATAAACCTCTCTCTCTCTCAAATCAAACAAAAGGAAGAGAAAATCACAACAATAAGTCACAACAATAGTATAAATTAATAAGCATATCTATAGTCACAACAATAGCAATATCGTATAAATTAATAAGCATATCTTTCTATATCCATATTTATTTTCACTGATACTTATTATATTAAATGATTAGCATTGAAATATTTTATCTCAGCACTTAGCAAATATTAAAAATGAACTTTGATTTGAGAAAGAGTACAAATTAAATATTAGTAATGGAAAATTTAAAAAGTTAAAAAATTGAATTTATATATTTGCCTTTTGATGATAACAGATTTTACGCTTAATTTTTGTGAAAACAATATAACACATCACTCTTTTATATTATTTGAAATGATATTATAGATATAAAATTACTTTTCAGCAATATTAATTAAACTGAAAATATATTCTTATTTATATAATTTATCACAAAGAAATTTTGAAGTACTAATTAAGTCAATTTTTAAAATGTAAGAAATAGCTAAATGTTTTTGCTGAAAATATTTTTTGATTTTGAAACAAATTTTTCATTCATTTTTGAATTTCGAAGATTTTGATGAATTTAATTTGTTTTGCTATTAACACATTTTTAACATCTTTAACTTATCTTGTGCGTAACTAATGAAAATGAAGTATCTTCAACTTTTCTTGTGAGTAACTTATGGAAATGTAGTATCTTCAACTTTTCTTGTGAGTAACTTATGGAAATGTAGTATCTTCAACTTGTAACTTATGAAAATAAAGTATCTTCGACTTTTCTTGTGAGTAGCCTTTAAAAATGAAGTATCTTCAGCTTTTCTTGTGAGTAACTTGTGAAAATGAAGTATCTTCAACTTTTCTTGTAGTAACACTTATGAAAATGAAGTATTTTTTCAATGCTTAAGTAGTGAATTAAAATTTGACAAGCGAAGAATGATGAAAAATTACTTCTATCCGAAAATCCCGAGAAAATTTTTCATTGTTTTAAATGTATTAAATTTTATAGTTTTGAAATGGAATCAGCCTTCGAAAGATTAATTTAAAGCAATTCACCATCGTATTGTTAGAATTGTTGTGATCATTTGAGCATTCGGAAGATATTCTGATAATCAACTTTTGATGAATTTTCAGATTATTTAAATTTTTCAACGATTTATAATTCAATATTCATATTACAGATTACTATTAAAATATAGTGTATTCTGTTCGAATTATTTTATTGATCAGGCTATAAAGTGTTTGAATTTTGTAAAGGAAAGAATTTATTGAATATTTTTGATTTGTTAGATCAAATTGTTTTTAATTATTTGCAGCAAATGTTTTAAATTATATTATTATTAAATATTGTTAATAAATTAACAAATTTATTTGGCTTCAAGAAACGAAAGAAATAATTTCAGTAAAATCATAAGAAATAAAAATTAAATTTAGTTAGCATTTGAAAGAAGAAAGATTTGAGCAAACATTAATATTAAAAGCATAAAAGCAATCAAAAAGTTTATCACGAAGGAATTACTGACAGATTGAATAAAATCGCGTGATCAGTCATTTTTTTTTATTTGTAAATTAATTAAATAAATTGAGGATTACGTGATTAATAAGAAATTGTATTATATTTTCTACCTTATATTTTTTGCTACTTTTCGAAAATCAAAAATTTGAAAAAAATAATTCTTCTTGATTAACTGCAAAAGTATAAAATCTGAAGCATTTTTTCTGCAGCATAGTAGGATAAAGTTTTTAATTTATATTTGCATGAATGAATTGTGTTAATGATAACATATATTCATTATATCTCTAACGAATCTTCTTGTACTTAATTCATTTGTAATCGAATGATTCGAATGGTCATCGAATGATTTGAGTGAAAATCGAATGATTCGAATGGTAATCGAATGATCCGAATGGTAATCGATTGGTTCGAATGGTAATGGAATGATTCGAATAGTAAACGAATGATTCGAATGATAATCGAATGATCCGAATGAAAATCGAATGATTCGAATAGTAATCGAATGATTCGAATGATAATTGAATGATCCGAATGATTCAAATAAAATCTTTGATATAAAAATCAATAATTTTCACTTATCAGATAATTCAACAACACATAGCTCTAATGCGTGATTATGCTTCAAAATTTCATTTCCGTTTATTGAAATCTGAAAAAAAGTACAACACTTAAATAAATTCAAAAAGTTGAACGCCCACTGTCATTAAAATGTTAAAAAAAAGTGAAAGGTATCGTTGGATATAAAAAAATAGAAGAAAATGAGAAATTGAAGGATGTGTTCGATGCTACCGCTTTAACTCTCTCATTCATATTCATCTTTCTTAATTTTCTTTAAAAGTATTTTCCTCTTTTTCTACAGCTTATGGAAAACTTTCCTTTTTTTCTATAGCCGCTAAAATAATTAAACTTTAATTATTAGCAGCTTCTAGAAGCGATGAACTTTTGCATTTCAACATATTTGATTTTATAGATGAAATTTGTAGTAAAAAGCACAATAGCATTTATTAGAACATTAAGTTAGAGAATTATTATATTTTATAGACTAAAAAAGTATATCTTTTTCTTTTCTAATATATTTACTATTCGAATGGTTAAAAAAATATTTATAGTTTAGTTAAAAAGGCTGGAAAATTACAATAATATGAGAGATTGGGAAAAGGTATAATGAAACTATGTATTATTAATGATAAATTTTGATAAGATCAATTATGATACATCAAATCGGAATATAATATAAATATTATTAAGTAATTGATTATACGAAACGTTTTTAGGTATAGTTTTAATTTTTATTCAAAATATATTTTATATTTTTTATTTAATAATTTTAATTAAAATTATGTTAAATCAATGAAATAATTTGATGAATGCAAGTGATTAGGATATTTTGATAGTTTGTTGTCGTAAAAAAATTAAAAGTTCTTTTCTTCTAGGATGATAGTGGATTTTTCACTTTATATCGCAGGTGGAATTACAGTTTTTATCCTCAATATGTTATATTTCATTGCAATTGTTCGAACTAAGACACATCGTGAGCGATACGCACTGATGGGAATGGAGGTTTGATGTTTTCTTCATTAACGATGATGTGAAATTTTTTATAATCTGTTTTGATCGGTCATCTATAATGATAGCAGCAATCATTTGTAACCGATCATATATAATAAGGTTTTCGATCGGTTATCTATAATGGTAGAAGCTATTCATCATCATAAACTTTTAAATCATTTGTGACCGACCATATATAATAAGGTTACAGTTACTCATCATCGTAAATTTTTAAATTACAAAATGAAACAATCAATCTTTCCCTTAATGCTTTTTTTAATTTTTAAATTATTTGTAAAATATATATAAAATATATATAAAAAAAAAATATAAAATAAAAAATATAAAAATATATAAAATATATATGTATAAATATATAAAAAGAAAGAGAGCACTACCAACTGAACACATCTACCATTAATAGATGAATGTTGAAATTTCAGTTTTTTGCGGATGGCTTAATGGGATTCGCAATAATGTTGGCTGGTGTGACACGTAATATTCAAATTGCTTTAGGAAGTCATAATCATACTGTTCCAAGATTAGTTTGCGTGATTATGCCATATAATCTTATTCTTGCTTGGTTAGTTAACATTTATAATTTTCATTTCAAGCTTATTCTAAACTTTTGAAATTTAATTAATTTTTTCCGTTGTCTGAAAAAGCAGTGAAAATTTTGAGTAAGAAAGTTAACTTTTTAATTAGTAGAACAAAATAAGCTCAGTAATGTTTTTCACCTGTAAAGCTGTGATTTATATTTTCCGGTAAATTTTTTGATAAGAAAGTTTGCCTATACAAAAAATAAAGATATTATGGAAAGAATATCTCAAATTGAAATGTGCAACTTATCAGATTGTATTCAATAAGAAATTGTTCGCTTTTACCGATTTAGATAGAATGCAAAAATTACACAAAAAGATTAACTCTTACAGAGATATTCCACTTGGTTAATTTTACAATTGAAATTCTCGGTACAATCATCCCGATCTATGCAGCTTTCTTGTTGCATAAATTCATCATGTTGTTGAGCAATTAAGGTTAATTGCTCAACCAATTAATTCATTGATACTACTATTAGCCACTACCAGTAACATCAATTCGATAATGTTCTCATTACCAAATGAGGAAATTGCAGCAATTGATTATTGTATCATTGCATCATTGAGGAATTGTATCATTCCTTCTTACAATTTCCGGTTTCCTTTATTCACGTTTTTCCAATCTCACATCTCTCCTTTTCTTTGCCTATTTTTGCGCTCTCAAAATTGTAAAAAAAAAATAATAGAATTATCATTTCTGTTGCATACCGGAGAGATTTGGTTTTTGGCTACACCGGTGAAACCGCAATTGCAAACAAATTTCTTTGATAGCACTGATTGTCATACTTTATTATATGAAAATTCACTATGGAAATATTCATTTGTTAATGATAATTGATTAAAAAAAGTTTAGGACAGAACCGATGACCGCCATATCGATGTTTGTAGTCAGTATTGATCGTTTAATTTCAATCATCAAACCTGTTTTGTATTTTAAAAAGATGTTGGATATTCAATATTATTTGGTAAAATCGATTTTTATCTTTCATATGAATTGTTAAATTACTACTCATCGAAGAGAAGAGAATAGCTGATCGGTTATTGAAGCGGCAAATAGTCAGCTGTTTTTTATAAGTATCGTGAAATCACTTATGGCATAAATTGTTTGATATAATTTTATACTAACAAAGCGAAATATTACTATATAGTTGAAACCGAAACTAAATAGTAACTATATAGTTTCGGTTTCATATATATAGTTAAACTGCAATTTAATAATCGTAAATATCATAGTATTTTCAAATTACTTCTTAATGAAAAAAAGAAATTGAATTTTAGATAATTGGCAGCAATTTATTTATTTCTCTACTAATATTTTCAAGTGTAGTTTGTTCGTATTTAAATGACAGCAGAATTCATTTCTTCTGTTGGTTAGTTCAGTGAAACTTTTTTTACAGTAAAATTTATAAATGAAATAAAATACGAATAAATATAAATTGATTGAATCATTAACAAATGATATTTGGATTTTCTCCTAAGATTTCCTGGAATTATTGATCGTATTTAATCAATAATCTCTCTTATTTACAATCAATAAAATTTAAAGTAAATTTTTCCAATCTCATATATAACTCGGAATGGTCAAGTTTTAAAATATATTTATAGGACACCAAATAGTCGATGTCCAATATTCAATCGGATTTTCTACGGTACACGCATTACTGCAGCTATTGGAAGTATTATACTTCATATTATCACATTGTTTTTTATGCGACAATACAACACAAAGATAGGAGAACAACAGGTTTGTTTGAATTTGCTATTATTTTAATTTGCTATATGAAATTATTTATTTGAAATTTTGCCGCTTCATTATATTTATCTCAACATTTTGCGCATTACGTTGATAAAGTCTTCTGTATGTGGAATTTTTCGTTATCTCAACATTTTGCACATTAGTTGTATAAAGTTTTCTGTACGAGGAATTTTTCCACTTCATTGCATTTATCTCAACGTTTTGCGCATCATAAAGTTTTTTCTACGTGAAATCTTTCCACTTCGTCACATTTATCTCAACATTTTGCGCATTACGTTGATAAAGTTTTCTGTACATGGAATCTTTCCACTTCATCACATCTCAACATTTTGCGCATTACGTTGATAAAGTTTTCTGTACGTGGAATCTTTCCACTTCATCATATTTATCTCAACATTTTGCGCATTGAAGATTTGCGGTAAAAAAATGACATTAACGTGAATGATAACCTCAAATGCATTTCTCTGCACCCAACAAGAACTTAGCTTTTTGATTTTAATAAAGTATTCGCTTCAAATTTCTCTTATCGAAAATTTGAAAAGTTTTCAACGTTTGGAAAATTCCTTTATTAAAGAACAAACAATCCTTTTGTATTGCAATTAATTACAAACAATACTCGATTTTTTCAATTCGCTATTTTCAGAATGATCAATCAGTTAAGATTAATAAGCGTAACTTGAACCTTACAAAAACGGTAGGTTTGTCGTGTTTTGTCACTGCAAGCCTATACGTTTTGCCTATGATTGTGGCATTCCTTGAGACAAGCGAAGATAAACTACGAGGTTCTATTTTCACCACTGTTATTATAATCACATGTGTAAATTCCTTCTCGAAAACAATTATTATTGGCTATCGTTTACATGAAATTCTAGAAGGCATCATTGATCTAATGCCAGGTATATTTCATAGGTAAGTAAATTTCGAATGCATTTATAGCTTACTTATCTCAATTCAAGTTAATCTATTTTTTTTTGGACCTCTAAATCTTGTTTATTTATTTGTGATCTGATAAATGATTAATTAGAAGGATTGTATCACGGAATGATGAATAGCAATCGAATGATTAGAAGTTAATACAGATAACTCTTTTATCAATTTTTATGATTCAGATTTGGAATACATAAAACACGAACTGTGAGTGTTGTTGAATTCAAATCGCGACCAAGTGTCAATATAGCTGCTAAGGCAGTTAAAGAAAATTGTTAATACAAGTTTGTTGAAAACAGTGGAACAAAATGCTTCGAAAAGATTTTTAACACTTTTCTTTTGAACTGGAAATCAATAGCCGAAAATTGTATTTTCTCACTTCGGCATTAATTATGGACTTCACTTTTGATGCTTCCAGAAAATTCCAGTCTATTTTGGTGATAAAATTACTACTTTATCCTCTACCTCTGCTGAATAATTATTTCTTAAATGTCTACACATTTTATGATAAAATTTATCATATCATTCAGACTAAGAACTTTTATAAAATAATTAAAAATTTTATAAGTTAAAGAAGAATTACTTTTTATCCTGTATAAAGTACAGAAATTCAAAATCAATATTGTTGAGAAATATATGGTAGTGTTTGAAATATGAAATATATCATGACAATGTTTACTACATTTAAACATGAAATTATTACTCGAAATACGATAATTGAACACGCACTCAGGATACGGTAGTCTATGTTAGCTTATGAAAAGTATAAAATGAAACTTTAAGAAAAATGATAAGTGGAAGATAAAGTGATAACGAAAGTTATTTCATCATTTGAAATTGCTGATAATAAGAGCAAAACATTATAAATCCATGCAAGTGTATTCATTGATAATTTATTTATTTGACTACAAATACGATAATGTTGTAAAATTTCACAGCTGTAATTTATTGACGAATCTGAATTAATATCTTCTCCAGTTTATTTTGATTGAAAATATTGTATAAAAAGCAAAAGAAAAATTCCATCCTATTTATTTGAACTACTATGATCTTTGCCAATATATGTAATTTCTAAAACATTTAAAAGGAAAACAGCTGTAAGCAGTAAGCCAAAATAACTGCCATATGCTTCAATGATATTATCCGAAAAAGTTATAAATGAAATTATCAAATTAAGTATAAATATTAAGTGTAAATTAAGTAAAAATTTATACTTAAAAATTAAGTATAAATAGAATTCTAATAATAGAAGAGACTTATGCTAAAATAATCGAATTGCTCCTAAAATATCATTCCACTGAAAGTTATGCAAAATTTTGACTGCAAAATGTTCAATCTTCACGTATCATTCCATTCCGCAGAGATATTTCTTGATTCTCTGCAAAATGTCATATTCCGCATCACTCCATATCATTCCATTCCGCAGAGATATTTCTTGATTCTCTGCAGAATGTCATATTCCGCATCACTCCATATCATTCCATTCCGCAGAGATATTTCTTGATTTTCTGCGGAATGTCATACTCCGGAATGTCATATTCCGCAGAGAACCAAAAATTTCCAACCAAATATAACTAACTGGTCATACATTGATAATTGGTGAAATCGTCGTTAATCATTAGATGTTTTCTCTATGTTTATTTCAATGTAAACAATGAAATTCTAATTTTGTTCCAATTTGAAAAATAGTTAATAAATTGTAACATAAAGAAATTCAAGTGGATGTTTTCTCAGATCAAATTTCTCAAAACACTTCAAGATAGTACATCCTGAATCATCACAAACAAAGCTATTTTGCCATTTGCACTCTTCTGAATCTTCAACAAAAATTCCAATTATTATTCGGATCAAGAATAAAGATGATAATCGACTGACGATATTTTCTGATAATTATATGACAACCTCTCAAGAAAAATTAACCACTCCATCAAATTATTAAACCTTCAACTGTAACAAAGCTCTCCCAAAACAAAAATCAAAATTCGCAACATTTTGCGAAAATAGCGAAATGATATCAATGATTAGTTTTACTGACAAATGATAGTATATATTTGGTATTTAAATAAAATCATTATTAATATTATTTAAAATGCAAAAATTGGAACTTATAATATAAGCGTTGTAATTTTCGACTGATCTAACGATTTATTAAAAGCTGCTCAAAAATTTAAAACTATATTGCATTGCTATCAGGCGAAAGATACGTGATAAGCTATATTGTTTAATAACATTTATATTATAAGTTTTATCGTTTAACAATAACTTATCAATGATTCATAAGTATTTAAAAAACATTAATACTTTAAACCATAGAAATTGTTTATATCGGCAATAAATGATAGTTAAGAATCTTTTTAATTTCAATATAAAAAACAACTAATAATTTATTACATATAAAATTTAAAAAAAAATCATTCAAATTTATTATAATCTCTTTTTAACAAAATTTATTTCTAGTAATTAAATAATAAAATTCCCCGAAAATTAAATTACAAATTCCATTTAATTTGATAATTAAGTTATTTAGCGCTAACAAATATCATTTATATGCTATTACTATTTTCAGGCAGTTTAACTATTATACTGTATTTAAAATGACTATTTCGAATTAAAAGTTTTTCAATTCATTTCATTTCATTCACTTCTGATGAATTCAATATTCAAATCATTGTTAATTAAATTAATATTAACTTTATTTAAAATAACTATTTTGAATTAAAAGTTTTTCAATTCACTTCAAATATTCAAATTATTGTTAATTAAATTAATATCACGTAATTCATTTCTAATTATTATATAAATTTGTCCGCTAAAAAAATTAATGTTATTTTAGAATTTAACAAGAATTCCAACATCTTTCATCATAATATGAACGAACTTTGCAGTTCGTTGAATAAACAGTAAATATTATTGAGGGAATGAAGAAGGAAAATATTTGAAATAATTCTTTACAACGATGAAAGAATATTTTTTCAACAAAAAAAAATATATCTATAAGAAAATATGATGAAAATAGATTAAATAGAATTTAAGTCGATATTACATATATAAATATCTAATTCAGCAAACATGTTTATAATGCTATTCAATTTATGAATTTCCTCATTTGCTTTCTAATTTTAATTTACTTTTCGAAATAGCTGCTAACTGCACTTAAGAATATTAAAATAATTTTCACATTCTTATATATCAATACATATGAATACCTATTACGATGATAATTTATTATGATATCTATATAAACATATTTACAATATTATTTAATTCATAAATTTCTCATTTGTTTTTTAAATTTAAAATTACTTTTTAAAATAACTGTCAACTGCACTTGAGAACATTAAAATAATTTTCACATTTTTAAATACCAATACATATGAATACCTATTACGATTATAATTTATTATAATACTATATTAAAAATACTTCCAACATTATTCAATTCATAAATTCCTCATTAGTTTTTTTAATTGAAAATCATAATAATTATCACTTTCTAAAAATGATAATTTATTATGATACTATATAAAAATATTTACAATATTATGCAATTCATAAATTTCTCATTTGTTTTTTTAATTTAAAATTACTTTTTAAAACAGCTGCCAACTGCACCTGAGAACGTTAAAATATCTTCACATCCATGCATATCAATACATATATAAATACTTATTACGATGATAATTTATTATGATACCGTAAAATATGTATTTCTTACTATTTTAACTCATCAAACTTATCTCTGTAAATGATATGTTCATCTCTTTTGAATGAATTTCAGTGAAATTTTCGAATATTTCTATAAAAAAAATAGTATGAAGAAATTCATGAATACAAATACAGGTAAGATTAACAATAAAGGCTTAATTTAAATAATAATTATTATTTCATAATTTATTTAATCAAATTTGGAAAAGGTTGATTATACTTGACAATTAATTACCTGATCAAATTACTAGCCCTTTTGATGAATTATTTAGTTGCAACTTTAATACCTTTATAGCTATATATTAGAAGTTGACAGCTTCTATTAAGTTATTTACAAGCTAAAAAAAAAAATGAAAAATAATATTATAAATCTAATCGAAAATTGTTAGATGTGATAATGATTCATTTTTCTTATTCAACATTTAAATATCATCGTTTGGATTTTTGTTTTATGATTTTTGATATTATTGATTTATGATATCTCACAATAATAAATTATGTAAAAATGATAAAGGGAGGAAGTGATTTGATTAATATAAGTGAACTTATTTGAGATTACACCACAAGTGCTTTAAGGATGAAGTGATATTTTTCATTGATATGTGAAGAGTAAAAAGGATGAGATGAGGATCCATTAAGATGTGTAATAATCGTAGTAATAAACCATGTGAAATGATAGAGGTAGTGATGAGAGGTGAGAAGTAATTCTATTTACATTCTTGGAAGTATTTCAGATTACACTTTAAGCTATAAAGCATTAAGTTGCACAAACTAATCTTCCTCCTATCCATTATTACTTCTAATATCTTTTTCAATCCATTTAAATATCTCCGCTCGAAGCAATTCAAATTTATTATCACTGAATATTTGAATGCTATAAATTGATGGTTTTTCTTATCTTTATCATAACTTTGCTTCAATCACTTTTTCATTCTCAGAATTCTATAAATTCATAATGATAAATTTGCGAAAATGTACTGCGAATTGATTTGATAATATATCGCCTTTTATCAATCTTTAATCATTAATCATTTCATTGATTTTTAATCATTTAAAATTACAAAAACTTTTCATGCTTATTTTTTGTATAATTATTCTTTATCTTTCTATTATTCTTAATTATTCTTTATCAGTGAAAAAGAGATTTTATCATTATCTCAGTTTGTTTATTCCAATGATAAGTTTAATTTTCAAATTTCTGTCGGATCAATCTTAGGTTGTGAAATAATCATTTTGCAAATTTATCATTATGAATTTAGAGAATTCTGAGAATTAAAATAT